TGGTTTGTTTAAAAATTCAAGCATATCCTTTCCTTATATAGTGCTACCCATTCCACAAGAGAAAAAAAATTAACAGTGATATTCTCCACTGACAAAAACTGAAGCAACATAGCCTCCCAAATTTATTTTTTATTAGCTAACCATTTTCAGCACAGACTGACATTTGTGTCAGCCTAATGCACCTTATCTGAACCTTAAATGAGCCTCAAGTCATACTAATACACTATTTTTCTCTTGTTTGTCTAAATGGTCAAATATTTATAGAGAAAAGCGTTTCCCGTTTTCCAATCAATTTTTGGACCTAAAAACATGAGTGCAGTTTTAAAAAAAAGTGAATCACATTAAGCTTTTCAAAATGCCCTCCAACAATAAAAACAGTTTCTTCGCACTTTATTGTGCTCTTCAGATATCATGCCCAGACTATAAAAGGTCAATATTAACAGCCTCTTAGCACTTAACCCTCTTGCCTCAATACATTCACTCTATTTCTACCTTCTCTTTGTTTTGGGAAGGAATCTGGTGAATTCTTTGGCTACACAGAAATCAGGGACTTGACACTTGTGATTAATTCAATGAGATGGGCTCATGGGCTGATATGAATGTTCTTGCTGTTTTTAGATGAAAGGTGAGGGTGGCAGTGAGCCAGCATGTTACATGCCTGACCATGCTTGGTCCTCAGTCAACTTTCTTCTCATATCATGAGGTGTTTTTTTTTTTTTACATGACCAATTACCTGTTTTGAGGCAGGGATTGAACTCTCTGCTAGTCCGGGGAGGCTGGCAGGCCTCCGGGGATGTCTGTGCTGGAAGGGTTCGATACTGAGGAGTCAACTCTTCATCACCAGAGAAGCTCCTCCATACCCCACCTGTCATGAGGCCGCTCGACAAACTGACAGGCTTCTTCCCAACTGGTATCTTCCTCTCTAAACATCAAGTCAGACTAAAGTAAAACACTTATATCAGTGCATTGAGGTAACGCAAGACTAAGCACTCACTGAGAATGGCCTCCACTTGGTGCTTCTCTTACTGTATAGGTCCTAATCTCCATCAATGAAAGCCAAGGGGATTCACTTAGAAGTTAACGCTGGTGATTTGTGGCAAAATCAAAAGATTCTATGAGGCATCCATCTGTTACAATGTGTTATGTTTTCACCTTAACTTACATCTCTAACAAAAAACTATTTAATTCTCTTAATCACCTATACCAGTATTTCTCAACCTTGGCAACTTTAAGATGAGTGAGCTTCAACTCCCAGCATTCCCCAGCCAGCATGAGTTGAAGTCCACTCATCTTAAAGTTGTCAAGGTTGAGAAACATTGAGCTATATCTCTGATTTAACATTGCTGAGTTAAAACTGACAAACCAAATATAACTCCAGATATAAAAACATCCCATTCTTGTCCCTTTTTAATGCTTTCAGAATAGTACAAACAAGGAACTAATGTCATAACAAAGATTGCTCTCAATATCAATTAAGTGATATGCAATATGAGCAATAATTATTGTCTTAATCAAGTTTCACATACTACTGCGTGATTGTATCTGTTCATAATCTGTTTTGAGGCAGACTAGACAAATTCATTACTATAGAGAATATATAAATAACTGGGATGACAGAAGGGTAAGAAAAGTATTAAGATATGTATTTGGTATCAAAATTAACATTGAGAATGTCGCTCTTAGTCATTTGTACCTTAATTCAAACTGGCTTCATGCCATGAAGAGCTAAAACATACAAACCCCCCCCCAAACAGATACTTTGAATTTTAATTTTTAGACTCCAAAGTCCAGATGTACAAGATTTCAACAAAAGTGATAAACATTTTTTTCTCCTCAGGAAAAAAGCATCCTCTCTTGAACTGGAATGGGACTGTCAGCACTTCTCAGGCTGTTAGAAATGCTTTAGTGCTAAATGACAATAGTCAGGCACCATTTTTTCCAGTATTTTTGCAAAAGTCGGCTTTACACAAATTACTTGCTCACCTATCCTCTGGATTCAATTAGCTTTTACTTTCTAATCTCAAAAGTGTTTAGACTGTCTGGGAACAATATTCTGATTGCAGAGCTTATAACCTTGGATTGTAAAAAGGGTGGCTTCATTACCCACCTCCACCCTCATTATCCTTAGTACAAAGAAAAAGGCATGGTTAGCAGGCCTGAGGGATACGCTCCTTCTTACACTGTTTGGTATAAAAAAAATCACAGTTATGAATTCCATCTTAAAACTGTTTGATGCTAAATCCTGAATGTAATTATTACTACATTTGAATAAGTTTTTAAGATTTATTCTTCAAATGCATTTATGGATAAATATTATTCATCTGTAACATCTCCAAAGTAAAAGTGGTTTTGTTGCTTTGGTGATGAACACATTCTAGTAATAAACTTAAACGTTTCAGAAGAAATTTTAATAGCCAACTTATCATTCAAAGTTTCACTTATCATTCAAAGTTTCCTACCATAGCACAATTGCAGTATCTAAAATCTTACTACCCTAAAATCAATACCATACAAAATTGTTGTCCAATATGGATCAATATTCATGCCAAAATGAGAATTATCCATAGGTTTGGCGCTGCTTACATGACAGTAACATTTTGAAAGATTGCCTGCTTGCCGCCGAAAATTACATGTCACATTGGTGGTATCCCAGTTAAACAACATCTCACCTTCAATACTGAGAGAGTATGCATTTGTATCTCAGCTTTATCCATTAAAAAAGTACTGGAAGATGGCCCTGTTTACAAATCTGAGTCACAATATGGTTTTATTGTTTTGTCTTTTAGATGTGATTACTTTGAAATAAAATTCACGCTTTGCAAACATTTACTAACAATTGAAGTGAACAAATGGCATTTAACCTATCCATCAGACTTAAATATTGTGATGATCATCAAGTTAGAAAACAATAATGAAGGAGTTAGGGTTATAACTTTCCGCTACCTGATGCCTTCCAAATGTGATGGTACTGCAGTTCTCAAAATTCCAATACTAGGTAGAAATTTTGAAAATTGTACTAACACAACTGGAGGACATTAGATTGGGAAAGTATGATCAAGGCAGTTTTCAACATGCTCTTGAAATCTTATGTATGTTTATAATTATTATTGTTACAAATGTTTACAAATGTTTCAATTTGAGTCATAGTATATTTAATCCTTGCACGTACAGAAAATTAAATTTATTACAAAAACATTCAAGTAGGTTTCTCAAAATGTGAATTTAAATGCAGCTTCTTAATAAATGCTAATAAATGAATAAAGATCATTCTACTTTGTACTGAAATTTTTGTGTAGTGCAATCTCATGCACATTTATTCTAAAATTAAGTCCCCCTGGCCTAGTTTGCACACTCAACACTCAATTTGCCATACAGAAGTTGTAGAACCTAGAAATGATACCATTCATTTCTTCCCTCTCTCCTCTTCGTTTACTGAAAAGTTAGTCATGATGTCCAAAATAGAATTAAGTAGTTTCACATAATCTATGAATTAGAAAGCACATCAAGCTGTTGAGGTTTGTGAAGTATCACAAACATGATCAATAAACTTGTTTATTCCTGGATGCAAACTATGATTTTGCAATCTGAAATGAAAGTGGATTTATTTTCAGAGGTGAACATGCAAGAGGCTGCCACCACAAGAATGTATTTATTTATTTGTAATCCACCCTTATTATTTTTATAAGTAAGTCAAGGCAGTGAACATTCAACACACCTTCTTCCTCCTATTTTCTCCACAAGATGAGGTGGGTTGGGCTGAGAGAGAGTGACTGGCCCAAGGTCAAGTAGTTGGCTTTCATGGCTAATGCCAGACTAGAACTCACAGTCTCCTGCTTTCTAGCCTGGTGCTTTAACCACTAGACCAGTGGTTCTCAACCTATGGGTCGCGACCCCATTTGGGGTCGATCGACCATTTCACGGGGGTCGCCAAGCAAGGCTGTCCGCCATTTTTTCCCCCTTTTCCGGCGGGTGCCTTACCTCCCTTGGGCTGGGCCAGCTGGTGGTCGGCCTGCTTCGTCTCTGCCGCTTGCCAGCTACGCCTCAGCCGGCGCAGGGGGCGGAACCACGCATGCGCGGCGCTCCCGGGCAGGGAAAGTCCTCAACTTACGACCGGTTGGGTATTCCTCGACTTACGACCGGTTTAGTCCTCGACTTACGACCGGTTTAGTCCTCGACTTATGACCAGTTGGGGGTCGCGGCATTAAAAAGGTTGAGAACCACTGCACTAAACCAAAGTGGCTCTAGAATACTAGTTCAATTCAGTGAAGGCTACTCAGGTTGAAATTAAAGTATAAAATATCATGAGGATCAAGCCATTAAGAAAAAATAAACTTTATATATGTATTTCTATTCAAAATGTAGTTTTAAATTACAACTTAATCTGACTCATATAACTTCACAACAGTTTCCTATGAGATATGTCTTTTCAACGTTTGTCAGAGTCACAGATTTAACTTCAAACATTAATCTTGCTGGCTTTTTAAAATGCTATCAAAAATGCTCATCTTTAAGATGAGATACCAGTATGAAAACTAAATGGAACAATATAGAAAGAATATCGAAGTTAATGTCAATGCAGGCAAGGAAATATTGACATAAATCTCAATAGAAATTTTTCTTCAACAAAAAGTATATATGCTCAACTGTAACTCCACACAACTTGCCCATCTTTTTATTTAAAAATGCTCTTTGTTTGTCCTTAAGCAGGCTTTGTGTGAAGCTGAAGAAACTACAGTAATTTTGTACTTTTACGAAAAAGCTTGCTCAATGACATGTTTAATCCATCTTACTTTTATTTCAAATCTGATCAGAAGAAATAAAAAGAAACTGTCACAGTATAAAAATAACGTTATTGCAGTTTCCTTTATGTCATAGTAGATATCTACATTGCTATTTCCCCCAAATAGCATTTACATACAAAAATGTCCTGAAAGAAAATGACAGATCTTTTTAATGTAGAGTAAAAAACAAAACAAAACAAAACCAGGTCTGTTACCCACTTTTCTTGTGTCCTTTGTACTGCTGTGATTTAGACTTTTTCTTCTGCTTTGATGAACTTGATTGGCTATCTCTTGAAGCTGATATTTAAAAAAAGAAGATACTGCTTTAACACAATTTCACAGCATATTTCAAAATAGTTAGGAAACACAGTTTTCCACATAGATAAAATGCTCTAGCCAATAAAGGTACTATAGGAAGCACTTACATGCAATATAATTTAAGGCCAATGCCTACTCAAAGTGTGAGCAACTTTTTTGAATGCTTTTAATGATACACATTAATATTAATATACACATTCTTAGTCTTTCAACATATGTAAAAATAAAATTGAATCTGTAAGAACACTTTGGAGGCAAATCAAATTAGATCAGGCAATTCTGAATTACTAACCAAATGTCTGAGATGACTGAGGCAGTTGGAAACTTGGCAGAATTTCAAAAATGAAGACAAAATTATTGCCTTAGGAACCTGCTAAATATCAGAAATGGAAGATTCTAAAAAAGATCAACAGTAACTTACACTGTGATGCAGGAGGCTGTAGCTGGTAACCTGTTATCTGACACCACCCTACAGGATAGAGGTCAGGTGATTCACAGTCTACCCACTGATCATATTCATCCTCCCAGCCATCAAAATGTATCCTCAGCAGACGATGGATTATGCGAGTTACTGTGGCCACGCATACTAAACGAGGTTCCATGAGATCCACAGCTTCCAGTTTCATTGCAACGTGAAACCCATGGTTTGGAACTTCCTGGAAAAGGGAAATAATCAAATTTATTACACATGGCGGATTTGTACATCATCCCAAACCATTATTTGTTAACTACGGTTTGTTGAATAAACAAACACCGTATGGGTTTCCATTATCATATTAAGCCTTAAACACTATTTACAATCCATCGTGACTGAGTTCATATAAAGTGCAGAATCCCTACCAAACAAATCACATTCTGGCTCAATGTGATTGGACCTAGTCATTATGTGTGAAAATCAAACCTTTACTATAAAAAAAATTCACAGAAAAATTGCTTTCTCATCTTAGTAATTCTATTCATAGCCTCTGGACATTCCCGATCTTCTGATATTACACAAGCAACAATCAGAGAGAATAAGTGGGAGCATTCAAACTCCCAGAACCAGCACTTATATACACTGCAATCTGGGTATAAATCCCATGTTTTGAAGCTCACAGACAAAGATTATTTGGCATTGATTCAAGTTTAATTTACTTTTTTTATGTAGTAGAGGCAGGATAAGATGAATGGGACAAAAGTATGTACTTGCACATTTAGAAGAAATATGTTCTGTAAAAGATATGAAAGGGGAAAAAAATCTCTTTCCAAAAGATTTCAGGGAGAGGGGCATGTCTCTGTTCTCAATCAGTTCTTAAGGGATTTTAAGTATTTCCAATATTTTTAGCTGTTTTCATTCAGTCAGTATATTTAGTCAGGCAGTCTGACTGCCTATTTGTGACTAGACCAATTGATATTAGTCCTCAAATTTGCAATGTTTTGGGAAGCTGAAGCACAACAAAAAAGTACGGTAAACTTGGTAATATTTTTACCCTTAAAATGTAACATGACATTGCTATGGAAAGCTTGTTTGCTGGATAGTTACATTTCTGTGTGGGACTGAATTATATATGCATGTAATAGGCAAATAGAGAATATGAATGGAATCCAAACAATATAAGAGACATGAATCAGTATTCTTAAGTATTACCAATATAAAAACAAAGTTACAAAAATTATAGCATCCACTTTCTAGAACATCAAGAGCATATATATGGCCAAGTAATATGTTCAATGTAGGCCAGAGCAATGGTTCTGATGAGGTTGCACTTCCCCCGACTGAGCTGATGCACAACTTGAGGGGGAGGTGTTTCCTCCTGGTCTCACAGCTCCTGATTGATGAGTAGATGGCAGCCGTGGCTTAGATTTGTCTTCTGTGCCAATTGTGCCTTTTTCTGGCCTTCTAGGCACTCATACTTTGGTAACCTCTTGTCTGGATTACTGCAATGTACTTTACATGGGACTGCACCTGAAGACTACTCAGAAATTGCAACCAGTCCAGAACAAGTATAGCAGCAGTCACTTCATGTTTATTGGACGATTTGAGGTAGTTTTTTAAAAGGCTAGCAATTTCAATAAGCTAAAGATATAAAATGATGGAGTGAATACCTATACATATAAGGACTTGCTCCACTATTGTCTCATTTTTGTTAAAATCTATAAACCTGTTAACACAGTTATAGGAAGAGTAATTTGGTTTAAATATGTGAATATGGTTTTGAATTATAAATATTTGGAATTTCTTCCTGCATTCATAACTATGTATTGGGGCACAATAAAAAAAAGATTACAGTTTTATGATAAAAAAATAGTGCCACATCAGATTTACAATCTTGGATTGATTATGTATGTTTCGTTACGAACCAGGTCTTTCTTAATAGAGAAATACTGTTTCTCTATCAAGATAATGCTGCTTTTAAAACTAAGCTATTTTTCATGTCTATATTTTGGATAGTTTTTTTCTTTTCCCTTCTGTTTTTCCCCCTTTTCTATATATTAAATCAAAACAATTATGTACCAAGATAAAAAAAACTGACCTACATCCTCTAGAAAACTTGTGTGTCTATTTACTGATACAGTATATCATTAACTTTAAAGTCTACCTTTCATGCAAAAACTCCAGGTGGTTTAATAGCACTCCCTCCTACTTTTCCATAAAACTCAAGAGAAATAGGTTGTTTGTGAGATATAATGATTCTTTATGACACTGTCTGCCTGCATATTCATGCATAGCAGATTACTATATTTCAGAGCAGCTCTGTGTCCAGTCTTCAGAGATCTCACGTGAGCCTTGTAAAGGAAGCAGCGGCTTTAAAGCTTCAAGGTGTAATGCTTTCTTTATATAAAAATACTTTACTTAGCACAACTCTACCTAGTGACTTTGTGAACATATAGTGGAACTTTGCCACTATCTTCCTCCAGAATTATTTCATTTCTTTACTTCTCCGTCAAGTTTATAACCTACATACTTCATAATCCTCCAGCCAAATCCTAACTAGATCTGACCCCCTTAACTTTTCCAAAACTAGCCAAGGCTGGCAAGAATTCTAATCCCCATTTAATCAGGAAACTCCTACATGATTTAGGTTGAGGACTGTCTCTCAGTTAATTGTTATGAAGACCGGGGGTGGGGGGGAGGTCTCAGGAAAAAGACAGATGCAAACATACCAAGAATCACTATATTCAATTCAAAATTCCTATTCAGATAAAAAGTTATTCATATTCCATAAAATAATCCCAAATGAGTTTCTGGAGTTACTAGAGCGCCATGCTATGATGCTGAATTAACGAAAAAGTATACCTCACACAAATTCTCTTTTCCATTTTTAAAACATTTTCTATAATAGCTATCCTAGGCAATTTCTGGTTCAGGGAGAGGAGGCAGGAAAACAAAGAAAGTATAGGCATGTTACGATGATCAAATTTCTGGTCTGTGTGCCAGCTTACCTTGTTAAAGAATTTGACAGGGGCTGCTACTGAACCTGTTTCCCTGAGGTAGTCAAACCATTTGAAAGGTAGCTTTGCATAACCTACAAGTTAATAGTTATTATATAACAACACTGTCAGGAAACATTCTGATCCTTAAGTAAAATACATTTGTTCTACTGTGTTTTTATTGAGGTCCTATAATACAATTTGATGAGATTCATATAATAAAAACTTTAAAATACAGAAAGAATATGAACTGTTAAAAAATAAAGTCACAATTAAAATGTATTTTTACCACTGAGATACCAGACATATTATTTCAAAGGACTCTAGTGCCAAAAAAAAATCCTAAAAAGTTGGTAAACAAACCTCTTTGGCTTCACGGTTCCATAACCAAAGAAACAGAAAGCCCTCTACCAAAGAGGGGTTAACCTGCCTTCATCTGAGGGCAGCAGTTTGAAGTAGAGCCTCTAAAGGTGAGCATTCATACATACATCAAGCTCCTAAGTGAAGTAGTCGATTTAGCCCTTATTGACTCCTTTGATTGTCAAGCAAATCTCAGGAAAAAAACTTCTTAAACCATAAAAAGCCCTACAGTATTTCTAGGTGAAACTGAGGATAAAACCTAGGACACATATATACAGCATATATCTATATAACACCTATATGTCTTATTTCTGAGTCACCGTATTTTTTTGCAGTAGGAACATCAGTGGAAAGAAAGGGACCTCAAACACATAGAAACCACTCTTGAACAGATAGTAGCTCAGTGAGAACTTGTAAGGTGTCTGCAGCTTTGAATGCTTTCTCTTCTGAGGTCTAACAAACTATGTTAATGGTATTGCTAACGAGCAGGAATTGCTGTTCTTTTCCTGAGGGGGGGAAAACACAAACTCTCTCAAAGAAGACTGAATAAAACATGCTTTACTATGAATACAGGTAGTCCTTGATTTACGACCACAATTGAGCCCAAAATTTCTGTTGCTAAGCAAGATAATTTATTATGTGAGTTTTGTTCCATTTTATAACCTTTCTTGCCACAGTTGCTAAATGAATCACTGCAGTTGTTCAGTTAGTAACAACAGTTCTTAACTGAATCTGGCTTCCCCATTGATTTTGCTTTTCAGAAGGTCACAAAAAGTGATCACATGACCCCGGGACACTGCCACTGTCATAAACATAATTTAGTTGCCAAGAGTCTGAATTTTTATCATGTGACCATGGGGATGTTGCAATGGTTGTAGGTGTGAAAAATGGTCATTTTTCAGTGCCACTGTAGCTTCAAATGGTCACTAAAGGAACGGTTGTACGTCAAAGACTACCTGTATAGAGAAAAACGTCTGCTGGGGCAGTTCTTTAATTGGAGATTTGGTTTTATAGGGACCTTACATTGGCTGATTTGATTTTAGACAGCTGACAAAAATGGCATCAGTTCTTGTTGAGATGCCTTTCCTTGATTCTGCAGTGTACTGATGGTTTTTACATACTTATTTTATCAGTTTTGTTTTAGGCGTTTTAAAATTTTGTATTTTAGTTTCTTAATTTATTTTTTAACAGTAAATTGCTTGATATGACAGACATATGAAACAAGAAAACATGAATACCTCGGGGTGGAGTTAGTTCTATCGTGTTAATTTCACAGAAACCAACAGGGAATATAGAAGGGGAGGTTGCATGGTAACAAAACCAGTCAGACCCATCAGCTGCCTCAGATCCATCAATCCCAATCATAAGATATCCATCTGCTAATACCTAGAGTTAAATGTAGAAAATTAATACAAAGCAGTGCAAGAGAGGAAAACATGAAATGACAGGTAATTCAGATGCCACGGGGTTCAAAACATAAAAGAGAATTTTTCATCAGATTTCTCAAAGAATCATGGTTGCATTAACCAGGGGTCTTCAAACTTGGCCCTTTTATGATTTGTGGACTTCAACACCCAGAATTCCTCAGCCAGGCACGCCTGGCTGAGGAATTCTGGGTGTTGAAGTCCACAAGTCATAAAAGGGCCAAGTTTGAAGACCCCTGCATTAAACCATAAAGTTCCCCTTTAGTCAAGCTTAATTCCTAATGACAACATGAACACATGTGCTATTTTCTTAGCAACAATACAAAACTATATGCCACTGCCTTCTTCCAGAATGCTGTTTTGACTTCCCAATCTAATCTATTGCCCTAGGACTTCTTAAGTGACCATCCAACTTAAATGGGCAACCCTGCAACTTTTTTCAAGATCAATCATGGTCAACTAAGTATATAATATATTGGTACTTTTACAAATGACTCTGATTTTGGTGTGGGGTACAAATAATCTACCAGCTAGTTCCTAGTTCAGCTCCTTTATATAAATAGTCCATATGTTATGCAATTGGTCCATATAATCTATAATGTCATTTTACGGGCTCCTTTTAACATACATGGAAATTAATGTGATATTAAGTAGAATTTAATAATGTGGCCCCATAATATCATAAACTTTTAGTATTATGCGATTTATATATATCAACTATATTATATATTTTATATGCAGCCCAAGACAACTCCTCTTCACTCAATGCAACCCAGACAAGCCATGATTTAGAACATTAAATAACAATGGCCCTAATGGCTGCCTCCAGCTCACATTCCCCCATCACGTAAGTTAATTATCTTTACCTTTCTAATTGTTGCCACACATATAGCAGAAAGATTTAACGGATCTATGGCTTCCAATTTCATCCCCTCTTTGAACCATTCTCCACTGGACTCAGCTTCTTTTACCTAAAAAATACCCATAGCACACATTGATATATGGCAAAAAAAACAAAACAAAAACCCAGAGACCAAAACACCTGTTAAGGCATTCTTTTCTATTCAGTCTTTGTGTGTGTATTTTAGATGCATCATTTTCACTCAGATGCAAATTCATTTCTTTCCTTTATTTATTCTATTTTACTGTAGTAAATACTCAAAAACACAATCAAGAAAAAAGGGAATTAGGAAGAACAGAAAAAATAAGCAGTATACAATGTCAAAGTAACATTAGATTGATGCTACATATTAATGTACCTTGCATTTTCAGAACATTATTTAGATTGATTCAATATGCAATAAATAACAATAGCCATAACGTGAATCATAGTGAAGAGAATTAATTTGTCTACTTAATCTAAGAGTTCTGTCATTTAGTAATTTAAACAAAGGCCTGGTATTAAAGCCTTGGGTTCAGAGAAACACAGAGTTCAAGTGCAATATATGTCTCTATATAGAATTATAATGCACAAATGGTTTCCAACTTAAATTCTGTATCAGACTTATTTTTCAAATATTGTTATGAGTTATTTGACAGTGATGCATATTCCCACAATTTAATTTGTCATTCTTCTATAGTGCACGTTATATGTGATTTTTTTTTCAAAGTCACAGAATGAAAAGAATCTGTCAGGACCCATTTTGGGATGGATTTTTCAGCCAGCCTCTTTGAGAGCGGAAGGGTTGCCTGCTAGGTTGATTTCACTGCACATTGGTGGAAGGGGGAACTCCCTCCATAAAAGCAGTCCTTCTGCTCTCAAAGAGACTGGCTGGAAAAGTTCACAGCACAGGCCAAGAGAGATTATTAGTCCCAGGTGGCTGAAGCATAGAGCACTTGGAGCCAGGCTGGCTCCAAATGCCCCATGCTAAAATCCCTTTCATTGTAGACTTTTCCACCAGCATCTTTGAGAGGGCAGGGACTGCCTGTCAGATAGATTTCACCCCACTCTCTGTGAAGCAACCCTGTTGTTCTCAAAGACGCTGATTCTAAAACGCCCTTCTTTGCTGAAAAGCCAGCAAAAAGGGTCTTTCTGAAATGGGTGGAAAAGATTTTCTCTCACTTTAAAAAGATCACATTTGCTAGTCAGCCAGCAAACCAAATCTTTCTAAGGTGAGGGGGGAGGGGGTTCTTCTGCTTTAGAAAGATCACATTTGCTGGTATTTTTATAGCTCTTCTCCCCTTTCAGAAATATTGTATTTTCAGGCTCTCTAGCCAAAACAAAAACTAGGAAATGGAGTGTTTCTAAAGGCTGGAAAGGCTAGTCCTGAGATGGGAGGGGAACAGCATGGCTTCAGGATCTGAGCTTCATTTCTCCAGCCCAGGGCAAAAATTCTTTTTTACTCATGGAGGGCAGCTGCCTTCCCCCTTTGGGCAAGGAGCTCTTTCTGTTTAACAGCCCACACAGTTGCTTAATGATCACATTTGGGAGAGCCAGGCAATCATGTGCCTCACTTAACGAGCATCAGGATTTGCAGCTATAATGGGCAGGGTTCATTATGATAAGACAAGGACTACCTCCACTGAAGCAAGGGGTAATAAATGTGGGCTAATCCTTTTTCTATATTTATCCCATCCTTTTAATACACTACTCTTTATCGACTGATTACGTTATAAATGTCTTTTTTTACAGTCCTGAGCCAAAGACATTTATGTAAACTACCTTAGAGTCCCATTCCTTCAACAGAGGCAGTGTAGCCATAACAGGATGTAATCCAGTCTGTCATCCAAGTTAGACAGCTAGCTAGCTGGCTAATGAACTTTAAAATCTGGAACTGCAGTCCTCCTCATTCATTAATGTTTTGTAAAATCTGAAGCTTCAGTTACTTGCCTCTGCCACTTGTTTAATACTTTGTCTTCAAATCTTATTGGAGTAATCATTTGAAATATTAAGTGCTGATAAATCATACCCATTAAATTTTAACATTCTTTAAAATTAATACATTTCTTCAATATGAATAAAATTTCTTCTAAAATATCGTACCTTAGCAAATAATTGTGGGGGTGCATCAACGTGACCATCTTGCTTCTTGGTAATATCTTTGAAGAAAAAGGAAAAATTAAGGCTGCCTCCTCCACTACTTGAAAATCATGATCTCCTAAAAATATTATTAGTCAAAATTATAACTGAATGTTGACACAAGTAGTAAAAGCATATTTGTGACAAGAGAATGACATTACAATATAATTTTAAATGCCTTTATCTAAAAAAACCAAAACAAATGCTGTTCACTCAGCTTCATGGTTACATCCTAACTTACCAGATCTTTTGAATCGATGTCCTATACTCCGAGACCAACCAATAGGATGAATGAGTGGGCTGTACATATGGCACCAGAAGTCATCTGTTTTGTCCTCACTTTCTTCATACACTAATCTTAACCTGCCTCCAATCACACTGTCAACAACTGCTATCCGTGTTCGGCAGAGGTGTGTTTTATCGACAACTTCTACTCTCATAGAAGGCTTGAAAGGATACTGCATACTTTCAGATACCTTGAAACAAGTAATTGTGCAGCATTAATTCATGCGCATCTGCAAATATTTATTATCCAACATATTTGCACAGAGTATTAGTCACAAAGGTCTGTCTATGTTAAATTCGTTTTTGGAGAATACAAGCAGCAGAATTCCAAATGTCAATAGCATCTTACAGTGTTTCTATATATAGTGCCAATGTTGTTTTTTTTGGGGGGGGGGAATTTAGATCAGAATATATAACAATGAGGTTTCAGAGTCTAGTGACAGTCTTTTATTCAGACAATCTAGAGCAGTATTTCTTAAACCTTTTGCTCAAGACCCCTTCCTACCTTTAAACATTATGAAGGGCCCCAAAAGAGCTTTAATTTATATGGTTTATATTTATTAAAAATTACCATATTAAAAACCGATGCATTCATAGAATACTGAATTATGTAAAAAGCAATATTAAACCTCTTAGATATGAACATCAATATTTTTCATGAAAAACCTCTGTATTTTTTAACAAATAAATATGAGGAATTTTTTTTAATTTTTGGAAAATATCTTCAATATTTGACATAATTCTGATTTTGCAGACCACCGTGAAGGTTTTAAGGGACTCCCAGGGACCCTCGGACCACACTTTAAGAAACACTGGTTTGGATTATCAGACTAGGCAACTCTAATTACTGGATGTCATGACTTACCTCTCAGGTTCTCAATCAGTTTATTAAATGAGAAACTATCTTTTTCCAATATTATACAGTCAACTGGAATCAGAATAAATTTTTCTTGTATCCTTTCAAACACCTGAAAACATTATTACTGGTCCAGCTATAGAAGCTTTGAGTTTTGATTTGCATGCTATGCCTGTTTTTAACAGGTTAGCTTTTAGTTAAAATATTGAATTCAAATTTAGGAGTATGTGATGAGAAAGATAAACAAATACTTCCTTGGCTTTAGTCTCAGGGCTATTTTCAAGCTTGCAAAAACCCTCATGCAGGGTCAAGGAAACTGATTTAACACCAAACTGATTTAACACCTCAATTATTAGCAAATTCCCCACACATTTAGTCACTCTCACCTTCTGAGAGAAGTCAGGAGGAAGAGTTTTGGCACCGGTGAGTCTTTTTACCAGAAAAGCTTTCCAATTTGTATATTTGTGTTGAATGGCTGTCAAGAAAAAAACATGCATTAGCTATTTAAACTTTGAATTAAGAAACTCTGAATGAGAATCAGCAAGTTTAATGGTAATCCAAATACATTAATTATTGCAAATTACTTAATCAAAAGTAACTCAAATATCTTAGTACATAATATGTAGTGCTCACAATTTTAACATAGGATAGGCATCCCTAAATAAGAATTTAAAAATATTGACTCGCACCATCATAATCAGCACAGAGAGAACGAGATGAACAATTGAAAGTATTACTGCTATATTTTACATACATCGTGGTGGAACTAGAGGTTTCCCACTGGTTGCACACCAACCAACTGGATGGATATCAGGTCCACAGATGTTACACCAGAAGTCAAGATTTGAATCACCTTCAAAGCCTTCATATCTTAATAAAGCATTGTAACCTGAAACAGAGGTTGCGTTTAAGGGCTTATTTTGGAGGAATACACCTGCAGTATTAATCAAGGTTATTGGGAGGTGGGGGTTCCAATTGTGAAACTGCATTAGGCCCCCAATTCCTTAAACCAATCTTGAGTATCAGTATTAAAAACATGAATATAAATATGGGCACACATATTCCAGTAAAAAATTTAAGCTAATCCCATACCATTCTGATAAGTTCAACAGTTGCAATAATGGTTCATCAGTCTCTGAAGATGCTAAAGATTATAATTAATATTCTATGTACCATTCAATATGCCACAAGCTATTCTTTACAGTTTCTATGATCAAAACTGATTGGCTATTCCTAAGGGATATGCCTCACTAAACAATCTAACAAGTAAACTATTTAACACTGATGATTTCTATTTCTGAAAAACTTTTCAAAGGAATAATTCTTCAATTCTGTCTATGCAATTATAGTTTAAAATACATGATTATAACAATTAATAACCTGCTAATTTCAAAATCCCAGCAATCCAGAAGACTTTGGTAGGTAGGCTGCAATCTGTGTTAGGGACTTCCACACGCACACCTTCTGAGATATCACCCCAGCATGTCCCCATAGGTGCCTGCAATGTAAATCAGAAAAATAAAAGTCACATCACAGGTAAACATGTGAAAATACACACAATTTTGAAAACATACTAGCAGCAATACCATAAAGCTTACCTTTTTTAAGAGACAGTACAGAATCATTCCTCCCTTCCCCCATTCTTCCAGACAAAGGAAATTTATTTTTCAATATGCCTCATATTTACATAGACTTTAAGCATGAGGGAAAATCATAATGATTATTACAGAAATAAAAAGAAATCCATCCAGAGTCAAATGCAGCAAAGAATATAAGACCAAATAGGAAATCAGCATTTTTCATAATAGATTCAAGCAATGTAGAACTGAAGAAATATGTAATTTTTAGGTGCACAAATATTTTTTGTTTTTTTAGAACTATCCCAATAATTTTAGAAAGTATACATATAGGGAATATGTATGTATGCATGTATGTATATTAGCCAAATTAAAACCTTTTTAATTTTTAATTAACACATTTGAAAAGTTACAAGAAATAAAATAGTTAACTGTAGTTGAGATACCTTATTGCAAATTATTGCAGAGTAACTTTGTTTATAGCAAGATAAGCACTTGACATGAGAGTAATTAAAAAGTACGGTACATCTAAATTCTGGAAATAAGGAAGTGTGTTTACTCAGGAAACATTATTATCTCAGTACTTAACCCCTAATAATTTTTTAGGTTTTCAGTGAATAAGATTATTTCATTTGGCCTATTTCTTTGCTGGTGTGGTATACTTTCTGAACTGGAAATTTGGCAGTGACTAGAGAACCAAAACAATCTGAAACTATGGTGGTCATTGAACCCAGTGGGATTTATTTCTACATGAGAATTATACAGTTGTGCCAGAAGATACAAATCAAATAAAAATGTGGATAAAGGTATAATGTTTATATAATGAATTACTGGTTTCAAAATTTTGCAGCATTTTGACAACATCTAACAATGGAGAGTTGAACATGACTCAAGGGGAAATCAAATTCAATGGATTGTTAATGGGAAAATATATGAGAGGTACTGTATAAAGTTAGCTCTGAATATTACTTGATGGTTTCTGAAGTATCTAGCCTCTGACTGCTTAAAAGTGCATTCTGTTTTAGATGTTACAATTTTAGACAAGGCAACAAAAAGAATAAAATACAGAAGCTGAAATAGGAACCATCCTATGAAATTTTACTAAATTTGTAAATTTGCTAAATTTGTGAAGTATTATGGAGGGTCCCAGACAGGATACTACTAACGTTCGTGACAGTGACAATAAAAGCAGCATTCAGGTAAGTTTCAAGACAACAGCTTTAGGCACACTGAATACTACAAAATAATTGCCTCATAATCATACAAACGGTATTTCTTAAGAAATCCTATACTACATCCCAGCCTCTAAGAAGCACATGGAAGCATCTGTTGTTTTAAAAATGATGCTTCCATACTTCTGGTTTATTGCAGTGGTCTCAAATTGAGAGGAAAAACTGTTATGCAAACATCCACTCAACATAGTTTGTGGCATACAGATGTTCTCTTTTAGTAGTCTATCTGCTTCAGGGAAAGCTTAGCACAGACAGATTTAATACAGAAAAACAACTCAGAAGTATTATTACACTAACATAATCTGAAACATACTTTACTTAGAAGAAACATTCATAGTTAAAATTTCCAAATTGTAACAACTTTAATTTCCAAACCAATGTTTCAGTGAAGAGATTCTAGACACTAACTTAATGCTGCTCTTTCTTAAATATATGGACCAGACCAATCTCTCTCTGATTTATTTCTGTTCAAAAGTGATATAAAATTGAATTTATGCACATGTGTGTGTAGTAAAGCCAGTAGAAGTAGCTACCCCATTGGCTGAGGTTTCTCATCCAATTGGTTCAGAGTCCTATTGGCATTATAGTCATTTTTATTCTGTTCAGTTCATGACCAAAGTTTGAGGCACCAGATTTCAAAGATGCGGATTGGTATAGGGGTAACAGCAGAAAGTTAAACTTGTCCTTGTCTGTGTAAAGATAGTGGTTCAGCTAGTTCCTCCTACACCAATCCATATGGCTCTCAGTTCTGAAGAAGAAAGCCATAATGGGTATGGATCTTGTGGCCTTGAAATGATGGTATACAGTATATTCAGTATACTGTTTTCTCCTGAACATGACGTTTACTAGCAGAACCATAAGTGTGCAGATAAGAACAAGTTTACCTTCTAGACTCATGATGAAGACATCCACCTCGGGCTCCTTCCCAATAAAAGGAAGGTCTGCCTGGCCACCACTTTGATCCAGCGCACACTCTGGAGGAATTATCTGTGAGGGACAGCCGCCTTCCCTGCAAGGTAAGTTGCAATCAGGAAGGTCTTGATGGGTGAGGTCCAGATTCATGTAATGGCCTTCCCTATCCAAAAAAGGCTGACCACATAGTATCTGAATAGGACAGCTAAGTATTACTGTTAACTGCTCAGCTTAGTAAAAATACCTGGTGGGCTCTGGAATTTCAGGGACTAATACATCTTTGGTATAAATTTTTGACAAAGGATCAAATGAGGTATAAGTGATACCTAGTCATATTTTGCAAATACTGTACACTACCCACAACTATCACAAGGATGGTCAGACAACAAGACATGGACAGGAAGATTTGAGACCAGTCATTATATCTCACAAGAGTGTTGTTATAGGTAACAATTCAAGAAGGATTTTAAATGCTATCTTGAACTTTTGGAGGAAGGATAGAATTTAATAAATAAAATTGGAGGCATGTGTACAACATGGATTGTTTTTTAAAAATAGTAGTCTCTCCTTCCTCCCCAATAAGTGAGCAAACGATAACTGTTACTTGGATTCAAGGGGGGGAAAAACATACATTTCTTGAATTAAAAAACCCCTTGAATTTAAAAAGGGGAAAGGTGCCAGCAAACCAATGCCATCAATAGTTAGCTACTGAAAAGAGAAGCATTTATTTCCTTTAACATTTTATTAATAAGTTGAAAATAAATGTATAATGTTTTCAAAGGCATATATATTCAGAAACAAATTTTATGAGTACTCCCAATTAATCAACTAATTTAAAAAGTAGTTCAAATAATAATGAGAGCAAGTCTCATGTGTGCTTATCGTACCCTTATTGAGCATACTGTATATTTTAGCACATACAATCAGGCCAAGTATTAAGTAAAAGTTGGCAGGTTTTGCTAATACTATACTTAAAAGGGACTAGAGTCTCTCTAGACCATTTAAGGCTATTATAATTGGGCTACAAAAATCTGGACAATCACTATACTGCTGCCATCTAGAGTAGACATTTTGCAACCCAGATATGTTAGTCCTCAGACAATTTGATGTCTTAGTATAGGGTTTTCTTCACTGGAAAATCTGAAAAAAATCCACTGCAACAAAAAATAGTTTTTGTTCAAGATCCAATAAACATTTCATTTAATGGACCATTTGGAAGGAGAAATTAAATTTTAGTGTCCATTAAGGTTGACTCAGCCTTCCATCCTTCAGAGGTCAGTAAAATGAGGACCCAAATTGTTGGGAGCAATATGCTGATTTTGTAAATTGCTTAGAGAGGGCTGTAAATCACTATGAAGCGGTATATAAATCTAACTGCTATTGCTATTAAATCTGAACATATAAAGTTTGCACCATGATTTAAGGCATGGAGTAAAGGCCAGACAAAAAAGTATCCATTATATCAGAAGTCCACTAAGCTAAGATCTGTTAAACTGAAGGTTTATTGCACTATTTTGCCAAAAAAGGGCAAAAATCAGAAATCTAAGATAGATGATTCTATTACAGTTAGTGGTAAAATCTGTATTTAGTATTATGCAATAAAGTTAAGCCTGGTAAAAGCACCAGATAGCTTAAAAGCAGGATGATGATTGTTTGGACTGACTGAATTTTATGAAGAAATGGATTAAACTAAATTTGTTATATCATGTGAGGGAAATAGAGGGAAATCTTTAATGTACTAATTTCAGTTATATATGTATGACTTTGTTTTTGGATGATTGATTTCCCCTCTACCACGGTGTTTTCTTGAGCACTCTGATGTAAAAATTAAAAAACCAATAAAATTTGTTTGAAGAAAAAAAAAAGCACCAGATATAAGGGAGAGTCTTGATATTTTCTTAGAACAACCTGATATGTTTTCTTTCAAACTGCAGTGTTAAAGCAGCAATAAAAAGAAAAATATGCAATCCTTTGTGGAACATCTAAAGCAGCATATTCATACCACACATTATCCATATAACTGTTCAATAGCCAGAAATAAGAGGATATGCCGGAAGGGGCTTCTTCAACGTGATTCATTCATGGTCCCACAAACAAAAACTATGGCTAAAACACACTAGGTTAATGGTAAAAGCATTCAAATAATAAGCATATTGGACATGAAATTACCTCAAAATGGATTATGTGCCATCAAGTTGTTCTCAACTCTTAACGAATGCATAGTCTCAAAATATTCTCTTACAAATACTCAATTCTGGGTGTATATTAAAATGTATCTAAGTCCATTTTGAATTAATTATGTAAAAGTCATTCATTTTACTAGTTGAATATTTATTCACACTGATGTAATTTATGTATCTTATTTTGTCAAAAAGATTTTGAACTAAACTATTTCAAATTTAAAACATGCCATTTTTAGTACAAAATGCTATGCCTCAATCACAAAACAGCTATATCAAGTGATTTGAAAATATTTTCAGTCAAAAATTGGAATGCAAAACAATACCATCTGTTTAGTAGTGATTGACATTAGAGTAAACCACAGAGTATCTAGTGAAGGGGGACATGCATATAGTACAACAAGTAGAAATAATGATATTCTTCTGACTTTTACATAGAGACCATTCTGAAGTTACTCTTGCTGTTAATTTTAATTGCCAAACGTTTACCGCAGTTTTGAAGTTTTCCTGCCCAGTTTAGTGTTATTTGCTTTGGGAGTTACCTTTTAACATCAGACAAAATGAATGAAAAGTGCAAAGGTTAGCACTGGTTCCTGAAGTGATTTTTGAAGATATAACTTATATCCTTTCTCCAAGCATGGGTGACAGGAATAAAATTTAGCAAAGGAATATTATACCATATAAAGGTCATTCTTTTATAGTGTATTAAAATTTGTGAGCTTTGCTTCAATTTATAATGTTTTATTCTAAAAACACAGGTTGGGGTTTTTTGGGGATGCCTACTTCATCTCCACAGAACAGTTAATGTTATATAGAAGCCATTTGGCCCAAACTGCAAACTAGTAAAACAAACATAAATGAACCATACCAACTTTTTTTTGCAGAAGTGACATTTAAAATTATGATAAGAATATTAAAGAGAAGTCCTTAATTATAACACGAAAATACAAATAAAGGAGAAAACTCATCCAATATAAATATCTGGTGCGCTCCCATGCCATCTGTTCTAATGGGGAAAGCACACTCCAGATTCCTTCACTGAAATGAAGTTATCTTGTGGAACCCCGGAGCTATGCAGGTGGCCCCTGCTCTTTGGAATAATTTTCCAAGGCTGCACTTTCCTATAAGGCAGGGGTCCCCAACCCCCAACCCCCGGGCCGTGGACCAGCACCAGGCTGCGGCATGCCAGAAACCGGGCCACACAAACAAGCAAAGCCCCATCCGTGGAATGCCGGCAGTACATGAAACCACACCCCCTCCGGTCCATGGAAAAACCTCTCTCCACAGAACCGGCCCCTGGTGAGCAAAAGATTGGGGACCTCTGCTATAAAGTACTAAGTGCAAGTTAGCTCAGCTCTGCAACTGTGATTTGTTAGCACTGGGTAACAAAGATTTTGCTTCTTGAACACTTTTGGGTGAATCTTACAGACTGTTGCCTGCTCATCATGAAAATAACTTGTTATTTACCCTATCACATACTGTTTTATAGAATGTTTCTGTTTTTACACAATGGCAATGTACAGTACCTGTTGATTATGCTGCACACATGAATGAAATGTATAAAAACATGGAACTATTGTTGAAACATATCCTGTACCCCAGGTACAACTGGAAAATCTGTGGAGATCTAAAAATAGTTTTTGAAAACTAGACTGGACAACCATTTGACTGGTATGGTATAAGCCTCCTGCCTTGAACAGGGGATTGGACTAGAAGATCTCTGAGGTCCCTTTCAGCCCTATGATTCTATGTTCTAATGGCTCTGATCCTTGGAATGCAGCTTGGATATACTTTTCTTCTTTCTGAAAACTTTTCTTCAAGATCCTTCTATATGGTCTATTACAGAAATTATAGAAAAATGAAGCTGGTAATAGGGCTATAATCAGACCCTATACATATTTATATCCCACCCTCTTTAACAGGCATTATTCCTAAGGAAATTCCTTAAGAATTTTCAATTTTTAAAGGTTTGAATTATAGTTGAAAATCAAAGCTAACTAGCCAGAAAGACGGTCATCCTGTCTGTTGCAGAGGCTGCACTTGTTACTTTGGTTCCATGAAATTTTCATGACACATGGATGACAAAGTAAATTAACACAAGGAGACAGAATAAGGTGACAGGTGACGTCAACAACTATTACAAGGCAAAACGATCTTAATTGCCATGTTCTGATCAGGCTTCCTTAATAAAGAGTGAGAATGCATTAAATCACAGGTATTGTTATTTTACCTACTTTCACTTATTGTTATGTGTTAACAACTTCTCATCTAGCAGCCACAATGTACTACAAGAATGAGGCAATCAGCTGTTGGGAGGTAAAAAAAAAAACTCACACAAATGTGTATGTTTTTTTCAGGTGCCATTCCATATCTTAAAACTGCCTGATGGTTTGTTTTGTTTCTGGTCAAACTGGCCCTGTATGCTGTGCAAAAGAAACCTGAATTCTTACATCTGTAAGCTGAAAGCATAAACAGGAACACCAATGCTGAATATGCTTCTCATTAATTGAAAACTCATTTTTATACAGCAGAGGCAACTATCTTTAATTCCCTCCTTCCCTATTGTTCTAGCCCAGGGGTAGGCAACCTCGGCTCTTTTATGACTCATGGACTTCAACTCCCAGAATTCCTGAGTCATAGCTGACTCAGGAATTCTGGGAATTGAAGTCCATGAATCATAAAAGAGCCGAGGTTGCCTATCCCTGTTCTAGCCATATGTCCAGTCTTTCAAGGACACTGCATAGGATATCTCCAAAACAATTTCTCTACTGCTGATAGGAGGAACTTTGAATCCAACCATCTTATTTTAAAGGCACCACTTAGGTTAACTCCAAAAGCAACTTTACTGGATGGATCAGCCAAGTTTCTATTAAAACAAGTTTATTCTTAACCGCTGTTAATGTAAAATAACTAATTTAAAATTATGCACTCTATTATATAGACACGCCTTACTAATGACAGAGTAACTTACTGTAACTTGTTCCTTCTTGCAAAATCAACCTGAAAAACATGCTTGTTCTGAACTCCACCTGCTTCTGAGGAAAAATGCAAAGCTCTCTTTTGTACATAAGGGGACTACAAGAAGTTTAATCTACAATACCAGATTTCACTGAAGGAAACTTGGCACCAAAGCTTGACAGATACCTAGGATCAAGTCCACAGGATTTTAAGCACCATCTCTAAAATGACTTTAAAAAATTGTCACTGAAATTATGATAGCCACTACATAAACTGAACAGTAGGGTACCTCTTTGGATTTGGAGATTGCAATTTTAGATAATTAAGGAAGTTTGGATTTCAATTTAATTTAGAGTATCAACTTCAGTTAGGGGAAAGGCCACATTTTCTGTATAATTTAACATTATGAGCTTTAATTCTCTGCATATCTAAGACATAGGTTAAAAGGAACCCTTGAACAGCATGTCGTTGTCTTTTTCATTATTTCTTAATGAATATAATAGTAAATTAAAAACAATATACTTACATGTTTAAAACAATTCACAGGAGCTGCTGTGAAACTATTGCTATTGATATAGTTGCCCCAACTGAAACCTTCCATTGGAACAGATGCTAGAATGAGAATTACTGCATTTAGCAACAATAATAAGCAAGGCACAAAATGTAATGCATGAAATGAGCACAGAAGCATTTTTCTTTGTTTTCCTTTATATAAGCAATATACATTTATTTAAACAATATTTTCAATCTATTAGAAAAATTACAGAAGGGTAGCACTGGGGAAAATTCTTCAAAATTTCTCTGAAAAGTCATAGTGTGCTGAGGAATATGGTGGGTTACATAAGAGATCCTCTATCAAAGTAACTCATCCAATCAAAGAAATATAATCGTCTGATGTAGGCCAGATGCACAACACTGACTGGCATGAATGAAGGCATACTGTCAAGGTATATAGGATAGATATTAGATCAGGGCAGATACACTTCTGTAAGTTCGTCTCCCAATCTATTTGGTGAAAGTGCTTTTACAACCATTGACGTAGCTAAAAGGCCAATATTACTCAGAATATTTTCTACTGGATATTTTACCAAAGGCTCAGATAAGGAATTTTAGTATGCTTCTTTCAATTTCCTGGAATATATTGTATATTTTAATCTAACCATTCTTTAGAAGGTTATTCCCTCCATTACAAAACTGGGAAAATTTTCCCCATAATTGTTACTTGGTGGTGATTAATAACAATGTTACCTGTTTTAGTCTTGGACTGGTTCTGTACCGTTGCTTGGTATTGAGCATATGCAGCTAATTTAGCAACTAAAGGTTGTTTTTGTAACACTTTAGCCTTCTTAGTGGGAGGTTTTCCCTGAAACAACAAGAGCTAAATAAGGTTCTTTTCAAAAACACAACACAAACGTTTGAAGCGGTGATTCTACTGGATAAAGCAACACTTTTGTTTTCAAATTTATTTGATATCCATTTATAATAATGAAAATTCATGACAAAAATTTGAGAGAAAAACATTTACATTCAGAGAAAAATTAATTAAAGTGTCCCACATTTTTAGGTTGACTCAATTTACCTTTTCAAACCATTTGCAAAAGATTCTAGCAACTGCTATTTTGATTTTAGATTTTTTTAAAAAATGTAATAAATAACAGTTCTGCCATGCCAAAAATGGGAAGATCATCTGGAGAAAATACAGATTTTTCACACGCTACAAGACTGATCAATGCAATAGTGTTTAAGAATTGGGTAAATAAATGCCACTTTGCTTCTTGAAGATAATGTACTAGTTATTCCTGCAATTTGAGTCGATGGTGCTATTCTCTTGCACCAGTTATCTTGCCTGGGTGCAACAAGCACAGCAAGAAAGGGGAGAATCAAGAGATGCTATCAACAAATTTATGGGATGGAGAGAGATCAGGCCATTAGGGTAAAGCTGTGAGATGGTTAACTGACTTTCTCACTGTTGTCCTGGTTCCCACATTAAAAAGTCTTTGGTTGTCATGTTGACTTCCATTCTGATCTAGCTACATGATTAATTAGTACTAGTTCCATCCAGAATAGAGATTCAGATGAGAGCAAAAATGAATTTTTCTGATCTTTCATACCTAACAATTATAGCTGAAAATACATTTGAATTCTCTGTACAAGAATATTTAATGCAACAAGTGCAATAGGCCTATGACAGTCAAATCATCTTATATTCTTCTTCCTAGAGTACTATATTAAAAATGCTGTTAAAATTAGTAGTACAGTTCATAGATAATTTCAGCACAGACATTCTTATTACTTTTTATTGAAATCCATAAAAGATATTTGGATAACTGAACAGTAAAGCAACTTTCTCACTTTGCCAAGGAGCAGCCATTGAACTAGCAATTAGACTCCTCCAAGCTGAGTCACCCATATATTTAGTGAACACACTTATGCTGATATGTATAGCGCATTTATTGCAATCACTGTAATATGAATGGAATATTTGTCAGAAGGGGATATGTAAGAAAACTTTCAGAAATTAATCACACTAGTTTGTTGCTAAATGGTAAAATGAAAAGGTTAACCTTCAATACTATGCACACCTATTTAGGAATAAGTCTAATTGAATCTATTGGGACTTATTTGTATAAGCATGCAGATAGGCAAACAGAACATATTTGTTCTCTTTGGTATAACTAAATTTATATGTTCTCTATGTTTAGTTTCATTGTTTATGCAAAGCCATGACATACATTCGGATGTAACATTGGAATTCTGCCACAATTGGTTAAATAAATACCAATATAGCATTGGGTAAATGAGGAAGTTAGATCCAAACTAGCTACATTTATTCAGGACACATTTTGAAGTTAAGTAACTAAATTAAAACACAAAGCTTTGGAGAATCAGAAATAACTTCTATGAGCATATCCTTATTCCAGCTTAGCAAGATTACAAAAACCTAAGTCTTGTCATGGTAAATGCTGACTTTGGAATTCAGGAAATGTTCAGTTAGGTATTACATGCAAGGAGGCTAAGAAATGCAGACATTCTTTAATCTAAATCAGAGTCTGGAAGCTTAGAGAAAATAACTTTTAAATATGTCAATACTGAAAAATAAATAATCCCACTGGTAACATTTTTAGAAAACAGACTGAAAGCATGAAGTATTTTAAAAAATCAGTACTGTAGTTATGCTTGCAGGTATACAGAGTGCTTGCATATTTATGTAGTGAAACACTGCCTATAGAAATATTGTATAAAAGATAAGAAATTCCTAGATAGGGAGGCACTTTACATGTCACTTACACCCTGGTCCCCTCATAGGAGGCTCATATTGAAGACCATCTGGAAGCTTCAACTGGTCCAGAATGTAAACCCAGGTAACACCTTTGCTTTACAAGCTATGCTGGTTGCCAGTTTGCTTCCAGGTGCAGCTCAAGCTGCTGGTCATTACCTATAAAATCCTAATTAGCCCAGGACTGGTTATTTGAGGGACTAGTTGTCTCCCATAGATTTAATCTAGTCGGGTGGTTTGCACACTCTGGGTTCCTTTGAATAAACGATGCCGAATATTGTGACCCTAGAAGCACACCTTCTCAATGGGCAAAACCTGTCCTCGAGAATGAGGCTCCTCCATGAGATCTGAACGGGTTCCATCCTGTTGTTTTGAAAGGCCTTGAAGACCTGGCTCTATATTCAGGTCATTAGCAAGAGTGCTCGAAGCCTCTTTTTTTGGGATTGCGTGGGCCGGTTTCTTTTTCATTCCTGTACAATTTTTGTTATCTTTGCCATCTTTTCTTCTTGTTTTTGTTTGTTTGTTTGTTTTACTTGTGAACTCCCCAGAGTAATTGAGAGGCGTATAATTATTATAAATCACTCAAACTGTTCAAAAAGCAAAGTGCTAATACAAAATTATCAGAAGATGAAACGTTCATATAATAATGAATTGAAGAGGAAAATCTGTTATGATGTCAGAGGACAATCAAGAGTCACTTATCAATGAGATGGGTGGCATAGAAATGTAATAATAAATAAATTACTAAAATGCTTATGGGTACTTACAAATCATATCCTATGTATTCATCCTGAGCTAGGCTGCTGAGGGTCCCCCACTCTCCATGAGGCAAAAGAAACAGTGGCCAGAAGGTATACTTCTCCAGGGCAGCTCTCTTACTATGAAATAACTTGTCTCATTAAGTACAAGGAGATATCCTTTTTTGCCTTTCAAAAGGCAATTAAAACCATGCTGTTCCATCAAGCTTTTGCTATGGGTGGTGGATCTTGCTACTGTATTTTTTTTTTTAAATCTGTGTTAATATTTTTTTATGAAGTTCTATTATAAACCCTACTGAGAGTTATATAAACAAACAAACAAGCAAACAACTAGACCTTATGGCATGTTATTGACAGGATGCAGTGATGGCCAAAGGATTGTGCATTGTAAAGAAGGATTCAGTAACCCCTCCAGGAATCTGTCTCTCTGCAGCTATCTTAGAATGCTCAGAATCACTGTACAATTGAATCCAGTTCTTAGCGATAAAGTAAGAAAGCTCACATTTGTACCCTTCCATATGATTTTACAGGAGGTCTTTTGATGGCTACAATTGGAAATTAAGTGCTTGATTCAGACCTTTGGACTAATCTTTTTTTTTTAATTTTTATTTTTTTAGTATTTTTGTTAGGATGAAAAGCCGTTGTTATGTATTAATCTGAACCATAGCATACCTTATAAGACTTTATATAGTAAAGATAATAAAATTTGTGACTGTACCGTTACCTGAAGTCTGGCCAGAATGCTGGCCTTCTTAGAGTTCGATGAGTAGCTTCTTGAGCAGGAAACACTGCAGAAGCGCTTGGTCTTGGAGTAAAAGGCATCTCTGACACCAACCATCCCGCACATTTCACAGGTAGCTAACGAGAAATATAATAAATGTAGGTTCAGTCTGCAGCTCACATAGAAGCTAGTACTATATCATCCACATCCACATCCCCTTTCCTTCAAGAATCTTATTCAGCATTTATTGGTGTATTAGTGTATTTATTGTGTATTACTAATCTTGCAGATGCCAGGTTAATTTCTTTCTTGACTTTACTACTTTCCTTGTAGACTTTAGACTCAGATAGTTATATTTCCGCTAGAGACTAGGCAATTGTTTGCAAACAAACATTTTCAAACAGTCAGATATTTTTGAATTTTCCAGATATTATTTCTTGCAATGTAAGCAATCACTTTTGTAATCTGCCTGTCGTACTTACAGTATTGCTATAGCGTTTTCCTGAATTTATGGTGAAAATTAGTTTAAGCAGTGAAACAACATATATTACTACATAAATAATTACTGTACTATTTATTCAATTTGTGTGGCTGTCCATCTCATTTAAGCGATGGTATACATAGTGCATTTTGTGAATATCTATCAGCCACTGTATCTCATTTATGGCATTTGTGTCCTGCTTATTAAAGCAGCAAAACACACAATTTTTAAACAGCCTTTCTATGGGAAGTAAATCATAATATTAAACATTACATTTGCTAGGCATTATAGCTTTATTATCTCATAAAGTAAGAAGTAATATTTAGTTAGGATACTTAAATATAAAATAATAGAACAGTTTACTCTGCCATGAAATTATGCCCTGTTGTATAAAAGGTTGGTCACCGCACCCACGTTTTAATAACCTATCTTTCCATTTTTTCTAAATATAGATCAAAGCCAGCCAATAACCCCATCAGGCTTAATATATTTGTATATATACATTCAAAAGGAAAAATGAAATCTGGACCGAGCTTAGAAAAAAATCAAAAGCAAAACATTTATGGTCCTGAATTTCTTCATAAAGACTACTATGATTTGTTAACATTTTTAACATGTTCAACTTGAATCCATCTTCCTATGTCCAGATAAAACAATATATCAGAATTATCTTAATATCAGGCAAAGCCTAAATGTTGTATAACAATAAATGCATGTACATTTAGTAGTGCATTTGTATAATATTATGGTACAAACATTTTTATAGTAATTTAATGCTAACAAGGAATATTCCAGCATTAACAAACTTATCATTTTTTGTAACAGATACACAAAAGCCACAATCTTTGGTTTCTAATAAGAAGAATGAACCTATTAATAATCTGCTTGACTGAACACTTCATTGAAAAATCTATAATATTTGCACTCACCCATGCCAGATTTGCCATCTGGATAAGTGTAAACCTGCCCATTGTTCTTGATTATTGGGAGATTGGAAGGTAAGGGAGAAACCTCTTCTTCACTTTCATCAGAACTAGAACTACTACTTGTATCCTCACTGCAGCTATCATAGCCATCGAACATCCCGAATGAATCACGTCTCTTCCTTTCTGACCTTGAAGGATGTTCAGTCTAAAATGAAAAAAAAAGCAGAAACCACTGAAGTATATGAATAAAAAGATGTGGACAAAATATTACAACAATTTAACAAGCTAATAGTAAACACATATGCCATTTCCTCTTTTAAATGGCACTGTACACAATTTCAATTGTTGAAGCAACTCATTACGTAAACTGTAAAAACCTGTGACATGTTGTTCAGCTACAGTTCCCGGCATCCTTTATCATTGGGCTTATTGGCATTTGGAATTATATCTTAGGAATAGGAATTACATTTTAGTAATATCAGAAAGCTATACAATTCCCTCACCTAGAATTAGAAGAACAAACAAAACATTGCAAAAGTTATATTGAGAAAAATCCATAATGTGGCTAGCATAAATTTTGTGTGTGGGTTTTAACCCAAGGAAATTATTCTCAACATAAAAAAATTATTATTTTATTATTGATATCCTTTCTTCTACTGCAGATCTCAAAAGAAAGCAACAAAGGGCTTTGTTATAAATAAGGAAATGTATATAAAATATGGCATCAATTTAATATACTATAATATGATGGAGGCCCCTCATATTATAGCCTCTCCAGTCATCTCTTCTCCAAAATATCATAGAGAGGTTAATGAATCAAATCAGGTAAACTCTATAATGTGGCTGTGGGAGAAAATAAGTTCCTAAAAATTGGAATGAAATGAAAAAAAAAAATGGAAAAATGAAAAAAAAATGTTCCTGATGCTCATGGATTCCCTTTTTCACTTGCCGTATTTTCCGGCGTATAAGACAACTTTCTAAACCCTGAAAATCTTCTCAAAAGTCGGGGGTCGTCTTATACGCCCAGTCGTCTTATACGCTGGAAAATACGGGTATTTTATTTTATTCCTTTACACATGTGGTTTGGCATATTACTCATCAAGTTTTCTCTCCCCCCACTCTCGCTCAAACTCTATATTTTAACTGGAAAAGTTGGGGGTCGTCTTTATACGCCCAGTCGTCTTATACGCCGGAAAATACGGTAACTCCCAATACAAAATCTCTGGGATTCAATAGTTTATGATCCTTTGTGCTAAATTTTTAGGTGGCTGAAAAGGCTTCCTGAGGGAGGAGGTCTACTTGCACTAGTCATTTTGCCTCTTACTTTAAAAGATTTCAATTAATTCCTTTCCTCCAGGACAGCAAACAAGTCACACTTGAAGTCCTATGACAAAACTCCACAAGCTACCTTACTAAAACTGTGCCTAAACTCTTATTTTCTGCCATTTTCCCAGTGGTTTTTAAAACAAAATTCTCTATTCCCACTAGAAATAAAGAAAAACAAACTCCAGAAAAGTTATCATTTATATTCTTCCAAATCTCTAGGGTTCTGATTCTGCTAATCACTAAATACTGCCAGCTTCTGAAATGTTTCTCTTTCAGAGAGTTTAAACTACTCTCATAAAGTTGACAATTTGCCACAGAAACATCACCATGGCAACTGACAGAATGAAAATGCAAGTATCACAAAACAAAACTTAAAAATCTGTGCGAATGTGGGTTCCATGCATCACCAGAACTATTCAGAAAGATTTTTCAAGATATTCTAGAAATCTTCATTCCAGATATTTCATATAGCAAAACAGCATAAAATAATATATGTGTAGAAATAAAAGGATATTTGGAATTGCATCCAGTAGTATCCACCACTGACAGAATGGTATCCACACATTAAATGAAATTGCTCCTGTTTTGTACTTCTCCATATCACATATTCACGTTTGTTTGGATTAACAGAGGCACAGTGAAAATAAGAGCTAGCAAATTCCATTAGTGAAGCACTGAATGAAATTGTTTTACAGATAAGAAAACTGGACCAGGAAGACCACAGCACAATTAACATTTTCACAAAACTAAGAACATTTCTTTTCCACACCTCTGTCTAAATTCAACTTGAACAAACTAATCCTTTTGGAGCCCAAAAGTATACAAGCTTTCATGAGTTACATTTTGCTCCTGAAACAGCTGCAACAGAAATCCTTCATCCAAATATTGATTACACTACTATAAAATGCATTCTACATAATCACTCCAATTGTCACATGTAAATACTGAAAAGCTTTGAGACATGTTATGTTCTTGCAATATTCCATACATCTGCTCCCCCTGCAGTCATTCAGTGGTATCTTCTGAAAGTGACCCTTTGATAAGAAAGTCTGTACTGTATACTGTACTGTATAAAATTGGAAAAATTATTACTAATGGGAAACATAGTACAATTCCATGTTCCCTCTTGTTTTATCTTGAATAGGCGCTTTCGGATCACTTGAACATTTATAAATATCGAAAACTTGGGAATATTTTTCTATATTTAAATAGTCATAAAAGGAATGCATTTGGGGGGAGGGCACCTAAAACAGGAAAATAATTCCTTGCACTGCTCAAACATCTTGAACTAAATAATTGATCACTTGACATGACTGGCAGCATCAAGAAGGCATTATTTGAACACTGATAAAATACAGTAATCCGTTACTATGAAGAGAATCAATTTATAACTATTATGTGTTTAGTACTGATTTTAAAGGCCTAATCCTGGAATTACTGAGACTTTATTTTATGATACACATAATAGTATCTTATAAATCTTCTGAATAAAAATTAGCTTTACAGACAATTCTATCCTGGTATTAATTTCAATAAAATAAAATGTAATAATTTTAATAAACACAAACATACATACATTGTTGTTTTCTCCATAGTAGTAGGCAGAAAAATCTTAAACTGAGTTATAAATTGAGATACAGGGAAGGAGATGAAATAACAGATTTGCTGCTTCATTCATAGCTTTATCAACTATGAAAAGATGGGAGATGGAAATTATTTTACATTTTATTTAACAAGACTAATTTGGTGGTTTGTTATTAAATTTCCCCTTGGGTGGTATACAGAAACCTTCTGTGGCTAACCTTAGGCTGAGAGTCTTGAATTGGGCTGTTTTTAATAGAAAAGAGTGGTGAGCAGGAACTTCCATCCTACAGGCACAAGAAAGATCTGTCCCTATCAAAATATGATACCTCCTGGAATATATCATTCACCACATAATAGTGTACCTATTTCTTAAACAGAAAAATAATCATGGCTTGTCCTTTACCATAACTAATCTATATTATAAAAAGACAGTAGTTTAATTCTCACAGGTCCTCATTTGCATGATTTATTAGTAGAACAGATTGTTTGAACTATGCTCTTTTACAGACTTACAACTTTATTAATTATCAAATATAAGCTATGCTTTAGATCAGAATAAAACATATCCTAGTTGGTATTTAGCACATTCTGACTAAATTCACCATCTAAAATAAGAAACATAGTTTGTTTTGGCTTAAAATGACCTTGATAAACAAACTATGCCTAAAAGACCTTGGCTTAGCATTGTTTAGATGGCCACTATCAAAGATTTTCACTATGTCCTATAATCAATGAAACTTTTTTACAACTCCATTTTCTGAAAAATCTAAATGCATTATAAACATCTATGGAGTTAACTGTAAATATAAATTTTGTTCATAACAATTTATATTAATCAGTTGATCAAGTATCCTGGAGATATTTATAATTGGAAAATCCAGATGAATTGTGTTTCAGAAAAATTAATTTCCCATTAATTTCTTATTGAAGATGACAAATTTACAAGACAAAATTCTTCCATGTTAAATATTTTGAAATACAGTGAGAATGGCCAGAATGGGAACATGTTAATAATCTGTGTTGAGTCTTTGAAAGAAAAAGAAACAGATATGCTTATAAATTCTTAGGCCGTTTGGAATAAGAAAAGGCATACATGAACAGTTTACACATTCAAATGGTAAACAAGCTTATACTGAGCACTTAAATGAAAAAGCAAACTAGCTAAAGAAAGTGAGAAAAAAATGTAGCTTAATGTCAACAAAACCAAGGTTACTTTGACCCAGGGTAAAAGGAAAGATGTTATACTTTTATGTAGCTGCCCTTTTCTACATACCTTAGAGAAATCTATTTTGACATATTGTATCTTGTCTAATGAATATCTTAAAGTACATTATATATAGCCATACATTGAATTCAGCATTAAATTGAAACTAGCAAATAAAATTCAGGAAACCCATTTTGCCCTTAAAAAGCTCTATATTTAAACACATAATGAAACTAGCATATGGCCAACATACAAGGCATGTTTATTTGACCATTTCCTTCTAATGTCCAATATTTATATTTAAAAAGCGATACAGTATATTGTAGTTCGGGTCATTTTAAAATTAATTTAGTTGTACATGAACCTAGGCCTTCCTCATTTATTTAGTTTAAAAGTTTAAAAAACACTGAATTAGTCCTCCTAAATTATTAGGTTTCTCTTTTCCCTAATAGCCATATTATCCACAGATTGTGACGTCCAAATCATTTTACAAACCCTTCTTTTTTTCCCCTTCGCATTCTCTGGGTGCTACTTTCTGTTTTCCCAAATAACAGATAAACCAAATAAACACAGGAAAAATGTAACTGGCTGTTATTTGTTTTAGCACTGTGTACATTTCCCTCCAAAGCATGTTTGCCGCAAATGTTACACATGGCCAAACAGCATATATACCTTCCTTAGGACCGCCTCCACTTCCTCCTCTTCTCCTACCACTTTCTGACCATAAACTGCTGCTGCTCAATGCAGCTACCACAAAAGAAAGGAACTGCTCTGTTCGTTACACAAGGGCTCTTGTACAACGAGAGAGAGGGGGGAAAAAACCCCTCTAAGTTATAAACCTTCTGACGGCATTTACACAGGGTAAACAACTTCACCAGGGCTTTGTTTCTGTTTTGTTTCTGCCTTTGGAGGAAACAGGCAATATGCCCCCAGGCTGTTCGGGTAAGTTAGCAGCTCAACGTTGTGCAAACCCGGAAAATGGGTTAAAATGCTGCACCCAGGCTACTACGAGCACCGAACCGACCGAAAGGAAACCTGGCAGGGCGAAAGACTTTTTCTCAAAAAAAAATAATAAATAAATAAAAAAGTGGGGGAGCAGAGAGGCTACCCAGCCTGGGGGGAGGGTGACCGAGTTTCTTCCCGACTCCCCCCGCTCTTGGGTCCCTCTCTTCTCAGGATAGGGGGGGGAAGAGACGCTGCCCTGACACTCTCGGCCCGGGACGGAGTAGGTGCCGAGGCGCCCGGCAGCTCGCTCTCTCCTCCCAACGGCCGGACGTCTGCCGCGGGTCCTGCCCACGCCGCGCTGCCCCTTCGCCGGGGCTGGCGGGAGCTCCACTTACCAGATCCTTTGTGTTTTCCATCAGGCCCTCATGGGCAGGGGATGCCTCCGACCGTCCCCGCTCTCCACCCCCCGCCCGCCCCTTCGGCTCAGCCCCCTCCCCTTTCCGAGGGGCAGGGCCAGGGTGGAGGAAGGAGACCGTTCAGCCTCCCACTTCTGCGAGAGAACCCGGGGAGCGAGAGAAAAAAAAAACAGTCCACTCTAAGCTCCAGAATATCAACAACATTAGCATAACTGGACCGCGCCTGCGCAGAACGGCCCCCCCTCCAGGGCGCGTCCTTATTGGCTGCCCCGCTGTTTGGGTCGTCCTCCCTCGCAGGACGGTACTGGCGACGTCATCTATGATGCGGAAGTGGGTGAGGAAGCAGGCGGTGGGGGGGGTGGAGTTCGGAGGCGGTTAAACCGCGAGATTAAGGAACGGCGCTGGCTGACTCGAAATGTGCGTCCGAGATGCAGATGGGCTTTCATAACCTCAGAAGAAAGAGACGTTGGTTATAAGCTTTTAAGCAAAATGATTTCTTTTCGCACCCCCCTCCCCATAACCTCGTAAGCAATGGCGCAACCCTTTGAATCTTTTGAAGGGGAAAAAAAAATGGGGGAGTCTGAATTGAAAAATGGATATCACGTGAGAGGAGGGCGGAGCTCGGGGAGTCACGTGAGACGGCGTCTCAAGAGAAATTAATTCGGAAGCCTAAAGAGTTGTCCAAATCGTACACTTCCGAGCCTATTTTGAACGTTACTATGTACGGGAAGGAAGGAGCGGAATGCGCTAGAGTGGTCCAGCTCCTCGGTTCAACTTCTTCAAAAGCCCCTGAAACAGCGCCCCAGCGGCAGGCGGCGTTTCGCATAAGTGCATTTATGCTGGGGGGGCAACTCATCCGAAAAAGACTTCCGGTTCCTGCAAAAAAAGAAAATGGACCTTTTCACTTCCGGTTCGCGTTTCCCCTATGAGGAGAAAGCATGGAGGCGAAAGTTGGGCTTCAGTCCGGCAAGATGCCGAGTCGAAAAAGACTTCGAGTGGGAGAGCGTCGGCGTGAAGAAACCGTATCTGAAGAGGACGACCGCCGAGCTCACCACTTGGCTCTTCTGGCGGAAAAGCCGCCCTCCGAGCGTGGCCTGGAGGAGCTGGTCTTTGGCGATGTGGACGAAGACGAAGGTCTGCTGCGGCGTTTTCAAACCTCGGGCACCCAGGTAACGGGTCAGGGGCCCTTTCTCACATGATAGCCCAGCTTTGCTATTTCTGTGTTGTTCCCAAAACTGGGTCTAAGCTTGGTGTTGAAGCCAATTGATCGCCAAACCCAAGATGTGGAAAAAAAACATTTTATTTTGGGTACCAAGAAATAAAAGTGATCTCGGCTTTGAAAGCCACCAAGGCCCCGATTACAGTCTTACAGCAGTTTTTATAACCAAAGGTGATTCTCAGACACCCCTCTGCACCCCCCCCGATAAGACACACATAACATATAATATTGGTTACCTGGATTGCAGCCCCCTAAAGCTTTCTCGCTCTTCCTATGCAAAATAGCTAAATGCCACGCCACCTTAGGTCACGGGAATCTTGCAAAGCTTCTAGTTTCCTGTGCCAGCTATGTGATTTCAACATTTCTTGTAAGCGAGCTCAATATCCTGGCTAAGTGGTTAAATCTATGAATCTGTCTCACTTCATTGTCCCTGCAGCCCCCCATCCCCCCCAGCCCCCCTAACATGTCAACTGTTAGCAAGCTTATACTGCAAATCCCTCAATGAGCAGAAAGGAAAAAAGCTGCCAAAGAAAAAGTTATTTAAGAGTAAATGTTCTCAGAATTCATCTTCCTCACTCCCATGTCCATCACAAACACACCTGGGTCCTATCTCCACATATGACCCTTCTTCTGATCCCCAGGGCTTCATGTGCACGTACATTCTTTCATTTGACCATCTGCCCTCCCCTTTTTTTTCAACCTCTCTATTTCTCTAAAACTGTATTTTTTACACTTGGCAACTGGGAGTTGAGGTCCACACATCGTAAAAATTGCCCAAGTTTGAAAAACACTGCTCTAAAATTTGTGTGTGTGTGTGTGTGTGCAAGCAGGGATTCAACAGGTAGCTCTTTCTTTATATGAAATGGAGCGATAATCCGCAGAGCATCAAAATATTTTAATGCTGCTGTTGTACTTTGAAGGTTATTTCTCCATTTACTTACTCCTTGCTAATGCTGATGATGTTACCTCGTTTGAGTATTGAAACGTCTAAAAGAAAACCAAGCTCAGGGAGCACCAACGACCCCTCAATTTCTCCATTTAGCCTAATAGTTAGTCCCTAACCTTCTGCACTTGAGTTGTGTTACATGTGAAGAAGAGGTAAAAGTGTTAATGGAATATTCTATTTATCCTGGGAGAGAGTGTTGATTTTTGAAAAAAAAATAGTGGTTTAGTAAATCAAGAGAAATGAAATATACTTAATTCCTCTGTGCTGTTTCATTTAGGGATACAGAATACAGGTAGTCCTCAACCTATGGCCACAATTGAGCCCAAAATTTCCATTTCTAAACAAGACGGTTGTTAAGTGAGTTGCCCCATTATCACTTCTTAGCCACAGTTAGATGAATCACTGCAGTTGTTAAGTGAATCATTTGGTTGTTAAGCGAATTTAGCTTTCCCCATTGACTTGGCTTGTGGAAGCCGGCAGGGAAAGTTACAAATGGTGATCACATGACCCCAGGACAGTGCAGCTATCATAAATACATGCCATTTGCCAAGTGCCTGAATTTTGATCATGTAATTGGGACTGGCATTTCCATTATTGAGTGATGCAACTGTAAAGCATGATGTCCAATGACCACTTTGCTTAGCTACATCAAAAATAGATTAAAAAACGTTTAACCTTTCTGCTTTCAAGTTTTCCTTTTAAACAGTTTCGCTTTAAAAATTGTAGGGTGGTAATGTGGTTGGCAGTAACTTTGGAGAAGAATCTGGTGATTCTGAAGCAGAGATTGATACAGAAGACAACTTCCTTCCACTGAAAAAGCCAGTATGGGTAGATGAAGATGATGAAACTGAAGAAATGTATGCAATACTCAGTAAATTGATTTCAGTCAAATGATGTCATAAGCAAATTGTATTCTTTGCACTTTCCTTTAATATATTTAAATATATTGGGGTGTAAATGTTTTTAACTAACTTTTTTAACTTTTCAATTTAAGAATTAATTTTAATGCCTTCTTCGCATTTTTAAAAATATTGCCCAACTACTCTCTTTCACTTGGGTATTCTTGTTGTTAATCAAATAATGTTAAATGTGAATACAGACTGCTGTTTGCATTATATACACTGACTTTTTCCATTTATGCCTTTCCTCCAGTGAGCAAAATATGTTATATAATTGCTTCGCCATCCCTCTTATTCTAACAGTAGCCAGATGAAATCAGCTAAACTGTATGGAAAACTGTTTAGTGAATTTGTGTGTTGAGACCTGAATCTTTACTTATATCTGGTATTTCAGCCACAATGAAATATTAATATAGGATCTACACAGTATTATAGATTTTCTCAACTTACTCACCCCGGCCATGCTGAGAATTTTGGGAGTTGTAATCCTGATTAAAGAAATCTGATCTAATATATAATAACAGTATTTTGTCACATTTTTATATAGTTTAACAATCATACTGCCCCGGACATGTTCCAATCTATTAAAATATATATCATAAGGATAAATAGAATAATAATAAAGGCAATGGTAATATGATTGTCATGCACTACATCATTAAGCCATTTAAAATTGTAGAAAAAGATCCTGGAATAAGGTACAGAAAATCATTTCCATAGCATTGCCAAAATTTGCCTGGATGTGTCAGTTCAAAGGAGTGAAATTTGGAATCTTTACCTTTTAAAAATATTAATATGAATAAATAGTCAAGTGAATGAATTTAGTATATGGCTTTTCCCCCCAGAATTGACATGACACACCGGCATCGGAAGAACATGATGAAAAGTGATGCTGAAAATAAGCTTTCGAAAACAAAACTTCAAAGAAGATTTCAAGAAGAGTATGTTTTATTGGTAACATAAGTTATTTTATATAATGCTATCTTTGGAGATTTTATTTCAGTTACAATCTGAAATATTTGTGTTGAATGCAAGAAGTAGTGACACTTCTTTTGCCTACTAAACATGGCTTTCGTAAACATTTTCTTACAATCATCAACATGAAAATCAGTTTATATATCATCATCATTTTAGCCATTGTCTATCCACTGCAGGATGAAGGCTTCTTCCACATTCCTAATAAAAGATTCAGTGATACAAAAGTCAAATTTGTAGAATTCAGAATGTATACAGCATGTACTATACAAAGTTCTATATAAGTTCAAGTGTGCTATCATTCATTTAAATAATTCTTCCGTCACAGCGTGTGGCTGGGAGGCGCAGGGAAGAAAGATCATATATTGCTGGGTAACAATGGTCACCCATTTCTTGCCTTTTGTCCCTCACTTTATCTGCTGCTCATTCTCTGTTTCTTCATATTTTGCTGACTGTAACATTAACTACAAATTTTTGACTTATCCTTATTTGACAAAGGCTACTTTGTCTTTAGTAATAATACTTCTTTACAGGTTTCAAGGTGCTATGGGAACAACTCCTTCTTGGGCACTGAGAGGCATGAAGAACAAAACCAAAAGGAAAACTGAACACGAAGGTAACTGAAGCTAGTCTTTGATCGCCTGTATAAATAGAAGATGCAGTCTTGTGCAAACTTACTGTTTGCACAAGATATCTAAGCACAGATTATTAATTATTGACAAGGACTTCCTCTGCTTAAGGTGACACTGAGGATGAAGAGGATGATGATCTGTTGCACAAGACAGGCAATTTTGTGATCGCGTCAGACTCTTTACCAAAAGGCATTTTACAGGTAAATAAAATTTACTGCATTTTTATTTATTACTGTTCTGGCAAGCTTATAAATGGGAAATGGTAAGTATGGGGGCATTGAGGATTTGTGAATGCTGTCCTAATGCTACTGATGCCATTGTTATATCTTGAATATATTGTTAAGTCGAAGTGTAATATAGTTGCATGGAACTTCAGCATTGAAGGAGAACTTTTTGCATCATGTTCATCAGCTCAAGGAAAGGAATAGTCTTACTGGGTGCATTTTTATGTCAAAGAGTAAGGTAAACATTTTTAAAATAAAACTTATGTTAAAGGGAGTATGTGCATAAATAAGAAACCCTTAGAACTTGGAACAAAAGAAACCTCAAGATAGAGTGAATCTTCTGCCTTGAAGAGTAGTGGAAATTCAAAAGTTCTTTGGTCCTTTCTTTCTCAGCCTACTCTTTGTTCATATTACTTGCAGCCAACCTACAGAAATATTAATGTAGACTTATTAAAAAATAAATAATGAAACAACACTGAATCAAACTGTTAGTACATTGGCTCAAAAAGTAAGCAGACATTGTTTTTGAGTTTTGCAACTTGGACACATAGCACAAGATAGCCATGCACAATCACAATGCTTAAAGCACAATGTAATGTATAATCACAATATAGGTATAAACATTTGTTTAGTGACAAGTTACAATGGCACTGAAAAAAATGACCTATCTTTCGCACTTCCGACAGTTGCAGCATCCCCATGGTCACATGATCAAAATTCAGGCGCTTGGCAAAAGGCATGTATTTAAGAAGGTTGCAGTGTCTCAGGGTCATGTGATCACCTTTTGTGATCTTCTGACAAGCAAAGTCAATGGGGAAGCCAGATTTAATTGACAACCATGTTATTAAACAACTGTAGTGATGCACTCAACAAACTTGGCAAGGAAAGTCATAAGATGGGGGAAAACTCACTTAACAACTGTCTTGCGTAACAACAGAAATTTTGAGTTCAGTTGTGGTTGTAAGTCAAGGACTACCTATATATGCTATATAAGACCTACAGAATCTACAAGAGCAAACTGATACAGTAGTCCTCAACTTACAACCATTTGTTTAACCACTGTGCAGTGTTACAACACTGCTGGAAAAGGTGCTTACAACCGGTCTTCACATGAACATTGCCTGTGTCCTCATGGTCACAAGATCAAAATTCAGGCACTTGGCAAAAGGCATGTATTTAAGAAAGTTGCAGGGTCCCAGAGTCATGCGATCACCCTTTGTCACCTTTTCAGAGAGCTTCCAACAAGCAAAGTCAGTGGGCAAACCAGGTTTGTTTAATGACTGTGTGATTTGCCTAAGGACAAGAAAAAAGGTACCGTGTTTCCCCAAAAGTAAGACCTACCCTGAAAATAAGCCCTAACTTGATTTTTGGGGGTGGGCCTAATATAAGCCCTACCCAAAAAATAAGCCCTAGCTTTGGGGCGAGGTGCATGCGTAAAAATCAAGCTGGGGTGGGGCAATGGAGCTGCCCCACATGCCCTGCACCCGCTTACCTTAGGACCGCTGCAGGCCTCCCACACCCTGACACCTGTCGCACTGCTGCCTGAGTTCTGCAGCTGCACTCTACATGGCACATCATCCTGCCACTCGTGGTGTGAGGCTTATAAGGCCATTGCTCACACCGCAAAGCTCCTTGCACCGCTACCGCCGCTCGCATCACAGGTTTTGTCACGCCCCTCGCGCCGTTACTGTCACTTACACCGCAAGGGTCATCACGCCGCTGCTGCCGCTTGCAGGAGGCCGCACAGCTTCTCACATCGATTACAGCGCGAACAGTGGTGCAAGCGGCCTGATGAGCCTTGTGCCGCAAGCGGTGGCAGTGGTGCAATGTGCTATGTGGCGTGCAGCCTCAGAAGAACTTGGGTGTCGGCATGACAAGTGTCAGGGCGTAGGAGTCTGGCTGCGGCGGTCCTAAGATAATCCCTCCAAAATAAGATCTGGTGCCTCTTTTGAAGGCAAAAAAAATATAAGGCCGGGTCTTATATTTTCGGAGAAACATGGTAGTAAAATTGGGTGTGACTCACTTAACTACTTTCAGTCCCAACTGTGGTCATAAGTTGAGGACTACCTGTAGTAAAATGGACAGAAGCAGAAGTCAACCTTATTATCAGGCAGACAGCATTATCTTTATTTCTGAAGGTGGGCTTAACTGACATCCTTCTCCCTTTAGCTAACTAAAAATAGCAGCAATTGGGTGGAACCTACCACTGCCATTTTAAGTGGTTCTCTTCTTCAGACTTCCCCAATCTTCCTTACTTAGATGATTTTTTTTACCTCTTCCTTTTTTGTAGGATTCGCAGTATCATGGGAATAAGATAAAGCTTTTTTTCTCCTTGAGAGCAAGGTAGAATTCCAAATAATATATAACGGTGATTCTTTATTCAGAACTTTTTAAAATTCAGAATGTTTTTTCTTGCCAATCATTCAGTAAGAATTAGAGTGATGTAATTTTTTGAGACATGTTATCCCTCCAAATGTTCCACAGTTTTTGTATTTTTGGTATTATATCTTTTAAATCTCACTTGCACCTTTAATTGACCTAATAGCAAATTTACTGAAACATGCTCTAATCCCAATAGAAATTTTCTACTTAAGGTTTTTTGTTTTTCTATGTTCTGTTTAAAAGAACTCTATGTTCATATTCTGTCTCTTAGATGAAAAATTGTGTGCACGCCAATAATGAACGTGTATCAGATGCCAAACTAACAACTGTGCAGTTTCATCCTACTGCTCAAGTTGTTATGACAGCTGGGCGTGATCGATCTATATCACTATTCCAGGTACGAATGATATAAATTTTACTTTATTTTTGTCCATACAGCTGCTGTTAAACTGAGCAGCTTGTTCTTTGCTATCACATCTATGGGTCTGGGATGAGAGCAGTATGTGGGATAGAAGATTAAACCCAAAGACTATGTAGACAAGCAGGACTTTCTCAGTATTTACTCAGAAGCAAAAGAATTATGTCGAAGCATCGTCTACCGTAGTGAGTAATAGTAACTTCATACTTGTGGAAGGCTTTGAATTACACTCATTTATTTGGGGAGGATTGAATACATGAATTTTGCAGAGCTTAATGGGCTTCTTAACTTGGAGACAAAAAGTTAGTTCATAAGAGCTAAGTATTGTATTTTGCATTTATACATCCTTAGTACACATGTAGGTATTGAGAGAACAGTGTTTCTTTTTTCTTTAAGGTGGATGGTATCACAAATCCACAGATACAGAGCATTCACTTGGAAGACTTTCCAATTTACAAGGCACGTTTCAGTGCAGAAGGAGACCAGGTTATAGCTACTAGCATTCATAACAAGCTATTTTATATATATGACATGATGGAAGGAAAAATTATTCCTATAAATCACATCAGAGGTAATTATTTTTCATTAAGGTTCCTGAATGTAATCATATTTTTTGTACCGAGAAGAAAAGACTAGGCAAATATTACTTGTACCTTTGTCTCTATATATCTGCTTTTATAACCTCAGCTAGATGTTCAGATGTGTGTGTGTGTGTGTGTGTGTGTATGGATGGATGTATATGGGTGTGTAATGGAAATTTGATTGCCTATCTATCTATCTGAATCAAACTTTCATTTTCAGATATGTACAACAAACTTTTACTTTCGTCTGAGTACTTTCACTTTTACCTGAGAATATATCTCCCTAAAATCTAGGGGATTGCGTTGCTAAATTGAATATAGATTTTGAAAATAAATTCTGTATATGGAAGAACTATATCTTACGTGTTTGCTTTGAATTAAAGGCTTAGAGGAGAAGATTGTCAAAAAATTTGAAGTATCTCCAGATGGAACATTCCTGCTGCTTAGTGGAACATCTGGTTATCTTCATTTGATTACAATGAAGGTAAAGTTTCTACTTAAATGTTTAGTTTGGGATAACATAGGTCAGATGGCAATATGTTACCATTTAATTAATACTAAGATATATTCATACACTTGTTAATCCATACAATATTTTATTGCAAGTTTGCTGAATCCAATCCATAGCTCTTTAATTTTATCTTTTATACTTTGTGTTATAAGAGTTTTCATTAAATAAATTATATAAATAAATGAGTAAACTAATATTACAAAAGAAAAAAAAACCAAGCTAAAGATGGCATCATAGTAAAGTAGGGTAACAATAACAAAACACACTAAAGGAAATTATATAATCTTTGTGTTGGCATATCTCTCATTTCTCCCAAGATAGAAGAGAATAATTCAGTAAGATTTAGGCTGTTTTGCTTAATAGTCTTATAAATAAAGGTGATTATAGGCATTATGTGTCCATTTTAGACAAAAGAATTTATTGGAAGCATGAAAATAAATGGAAAGGCTATTGCATCATCATTCTCTCCAGATGGCAGCAGAATCTACACACATTCTGGTAATGTTTCCAGACTTGATGACATGCAGATTTAATATTTGTAGTTTGGTGACAGAAATATTTTTTAGTTTGACTTCTGTTGTTGCTGTTGTATTAATTGTCCCCATTTCAAAACCACAGATAACAGTGATCATTAAAACATAAAATAGTACAGTAATATTTGGTTTAGTGCAGTGGTTCCCAACCTTTTCTATACCCCGCACCCCTAGAACACTTCTGATATATTCTTGCACCCCTTACAAAAGTTTGAAATAATGGCAACGAATTATGCATATACACTATAATTTTGAAAACCCAAGTTTTTGCACCCCCTGGAATATCGTCTCGCACCCCCAGGGGGTGCAAGCACCCCTGGTTGGGAACCCCTGGTTTAGTGGTTAAAGCACCAGACTAGAAAGTAGAAGATAATCACGTCTAGTCCCGCCTTAGGCATGAAAACTGGCTGAGTGACCTTGGGCCAGTCGCTCTAAGCCCAACTCACCTCACAGGATGATGGTTGTGGGGAAAATAGAAGGAAAAAAGACCATTAGATATGTTCACTGCTTTCAGTTGTTTATAAAAATAATAAAGATGGGAGATAAAATAAATATTTGTAACTCAATACAGCCTCCCAGTAGCAAAATAAAGGACCTTTATTTTGCTCTATATAGTTTATAATCCATATCTTCTATTAAAAATAACACAAGAACAATTTTAATAATTGTCAAAAGATTCACTGTCTAATCACTTCTTTGTTTTCTAAATCAAGGATGTGATGTTTAAATTCTTATAAACATTGTTTTCAATAACGTAACTTATCTGTCAGATGAGGGTGAAGTCTTCATATGGGATGTGAAAAGCAGGCGGTGTCTGAACAAGTTTACTGATGAAGGTTGTCTGCATGGTACTTCTATTGCAGTCTCTAAAAACAGCCAATATATTGCATGTGGGTAAGTAAGTAAAAGGAAAGACAAGTACTAATATGTCGTTAAATATTGAGCATCTATCTGCACAAGGGGAGAGACTGAATTACATACACATTAAACCATGGCTTGCTAAACCATGATTTACAAGCCAAAATATCTGCATGTTCGTGAAGCATTATCTTTGCAGTATATAATCCAGATTAGATTTGTAGAAGTATTTCGGTGCCAGCTCTGGATTAGTCCACTCCATGTAAAGAAAACTTCAATTGGAAGTAATTGCTTGGACTATTCATTCAGAGGTATGACTCACAAAATGCCCTCCAAACTACTGATGAAAGCAATCTGTCCTCTTAAAACAGGGGTCTTCAAACTTGGCTCTTTTATGACTTGTGGACTTCAACTTCCAGAATTTCTCAGCCAGGCATGCTGGCTGAGGAATTCTGGGAGTTGAAATCCACAAGTCATAAAAGGGCCAAGTTTGAAGACCCCTGTCTTAAAAAATCATTAAGATTGCTTCAAGGATCAAGGACATCTCTGGGGTAGTATTGTCTGTTCATTTCCACATATGTAACTTTTCCCTTTAAAAATTAAGGGCTACCAAGGTCAAGCATAATCATGGAGGTAGTTAACCAGCACATCTTATCCACAGCTTGAGTTAGACTAGCTGAAATCTGTAGGGTTTCTGAATAGATAACATATTTCATAATTTAAGGATAGTTGTAATAATTCTGATATTCTTTGAGTCAAATCTGAATGTTTTTAAATGTCCCTTTTTTCCGCAGATGAAAATACCAAATGGATAGTATTAAGAATAGTTTTTGTCTTGCGGTATCATATTTGTCAATTTTGTGAAATTATTTCCTAAAAATATGTGTACAAGGCTTTGAAGTCAATATCAGCCTGAACTACTTCGCCCAGAATTTATAAAAATGTAAAAGTCATTAGCATGTAATATAATTGTCCCCTTATTTATATGAAGTATAATTGAAGAGAACCTTTGGGGTTTGTTTTTGTTAAACATTTGAATATGTGCTACAATATAAGTAGCTGACCTGTTTCTAAGTCATTAAGATTTCTCTTTCTAGTTCTAATTCCGGAGTTGTGAATGTGTATGCCCATGATGATTGCATCAAAGAAACACGTCCTAAGCCTCTTAAGGCTATAATGAACTTGGTCACGCCTTCTACATCGTTAGCATTCAACCCAACCACTGAAATACTAGCAATGGCTTCTAATAAAATGGATGATGCATTGAAACTGGTAAGTACATTTTTATTAATGTTGTGCTGAAACTTTCATTTCCTCCATTTTGCATGGAAGAGGGCAAACCAAAATAAAAAGTGACGGGGAATTTCGAGCAACAGAACAGATTGCATTTTACTAAACATGAAAAGTTGTAAAATAATGCAGAACCCTTTATTTACACAAAATACTTATGTAACCCTACAACTATTTGTGATTACCCAGGGTATTTTAAATGTCGAAAAGAAAAATATCTATAATAAACACTTGATTCCTTTATAAATTGTTCCACCCTTTGCAGAAGAAACAAACAAATTTTTATTTTGTAAGGATTACAAATATTAGCATAAAGCATCTATTCAGAGAAAGATTAATTCAGTAATTCATTGATAATAAAATAATACTAAAAGCCTGTGTCTTATTTTTTAAAGGGAGGCAGTTTTAGTACTTACAACTGTTACCTGAGAAAAAGGTCTGGCTGAAATTTTATACATTACTCAAAAATCTCAAGACTTCACTGGCTCTTCTTGAATAAAATATTAGCTATTTTATTGCTGCATCAAAATTAAATATCCTGTAATAAATGAAGAAGTCTACCTAATGGAAAATGTGAATATGTTTAAAACAATGCAACAGTTTCTCTTCATTCCCCTGTATTATTTTTAACAATTTTATTCCTTTTTTACAGGTCCATATTCCTTCATTTACAGTATTCTCAAATTTTCCTGTGTTCAGGAGGAAGTTGTTCTATTTAGCTTACTGTATGGATTTCTCACCAAGAAGTGGATATTTTTCCATAGCAAACAACAAAGGCAAAGCTTTATTGTATAGGTATGTAATAAATAATTGATTAATGATATAACTTCTGGCATACTTTTAATACTGCTTTTCATAATATAATAAAAATATAGCATACAGCGGGAGTGTAAGGAAAACCAATTAACCGTGAGTCTGCTTCAGTCAATATTTGGCACATTTAAGTTCTATATTTTAAATCAAGTATTAAAAACAACTAAAAATTAATGGAAAGAATCGAGTTAATGAATAGTATTTCCAGATCATTCATAAGCATGACTAGGGTGTACTTAAGCCTAATAAAATCAGTGTTACCTTAACTCTTAAGTAATATAATAATGCAATATCTCTGATTAGAAGTCACCTCCAGAAAAGCCATATCAGATCATATGTGTTATGGATAGGTGATAATAGTTCTTAAACTCTCTAATATTAATTCTGTTTTACTTTTTTCAGGTTGAAACACTACTCTGATTTCTAAAATGACTACTTTAAAATTAGGTAACTATTAAATGAAGTAGGAGGCTTGAATTGTTGCAAACCAGAAAGGATTTATTTCATCTTTGTAAAAAATGTTTTATTTATATATAACAAAAATGTAGGATTCGAGAAATTGTACAAAAGCATGATAGAGGTTGAAGAATACCAAATTTGAAAGAGTTTATATAACTAAGAATTAAAATAATAAAATGACAGGAGTTACCATCCTTTTTTCTTTATATTCTCATTTTTTTTTCTTTCATGAGGATAAATACCTTTAAGGAAACAGAAAATAAACAGTACTATAGTACTATAAGTATCCTTCAAGCTGAATTTGATTTCTCTACAGATATGTAGTTTTCTTGAAAGTAACATGGATGTGGCTTGCTATTCCCTCCAATGGGATTTTTTTAAAAAAATCCCATTATTCCTTACAAGTAGTATCTCTCAATCAGAGATACTAGGTTTGCTATCTGAGTACTAATCAACCCAGAGCATGTTTAGCTTTCTGGTATCAGCCAAGGACAATTAAATGTTGCCACCTAGCTTGGGTTTTATAGAATTAAATAATTATTAATAAAGATGCCATTGGTATTGAATATACTTTGCGGAAGGAATGCTTACATCTGTCAACTGTAGTTTGAGATGGCTCAGCCTCAATCATTCCTTCACAAAATGTATTGATCTCATCACTTAAAACTGCAACATCTTAAGAGTGAGGTATATAAATTTAAAAGCAAGGGTATTTACTAATGTTATTTATGATCTTAGGTTGAGTATGACATTCTCTTAAAATTCGGGGGGGGGGGATGATTTGGAATGGAAGTTGGTGTATCCTACTAAGCCATTTCATGGCCTACAATATTTTTTAAATAATCACAATCTGTCCTTTTGGCTGAAACTTTTTGAGGAAATTGGGGAATAACACCCAACAGTCTCTTAGTGAATCCTGCTATGCTTCCTTATGCATGTAAATACAGCATAAGAAATTAATTCTTCATCGTTATCTCAAAATTTGGGGAACTAAAGGACAATTTTCATTGGATCAATTGAATTTAATACTATGAAAAATAATTCTGGCTGGAAAATTGTATTTTGCTCACCAGTTATATTAGCAGCACTTTTCCTAATGGACCACCTTCAGCTGTACAAATGTTATTTTGGGAAGAAATATTAAATATGAATGATTAAACGTCTGTATTTGTCTTTAAAATCACATTTGTGTTCATATGTCTGTGTGTCCTATTGTTTTCTCTAATCACGTTTGCTTTAATCTCTCCGAGTATTTAATCAGTGTAAAAAACATTGGAGTTGTCATCAACTATTCCTCTATACAGGGGGGAATAGAATAGAATAATAGAACATATTCTTTACATGATATGATTAGCAGAAGATCATACTTTATTTTATAAACCTTATTTGATTTATATAAGCAAGGTTTTCAAAGCAAAACTTCATATTGCAAATGTTATCAGTAAACTTCTAATAAACTAAACTGTTGCGAAGATGTGCATATTAGTGTGGCTCTACCAAGATTTTATATGAGCTTAAACTTCAAAAAAGAACAGTTAAATATCTGTGAATATTAGCTTGTGAGGACTTCTCTTATGACTAAGTCTAGAATTTCATTGCACAGCTTAATGTGTTAATTTTCTTAATTTTAGAATGCTGATTTTCTATAACTTTTATAAAAAAGATGTAATATAGCCATGTTAGTTAACATGGTACTAACATGTTTAATTATTTTAATGTCTTGCTGATTCACGTAGGCAATGAAAAGATTTCTGTGGAGTGCAATCTAATAAAAAGTGGTTGACTGACTTTTCATTTTTTTTTCTTTTATACAGATCCTGCAGCCTGTGGTTCTAAGAAAATAGATTTAATTTTGCCTTAAAAAAAAAAATTCATCACCAATACATGTTTTTGATAATTTACAAACTGGCATTCTTTTTTTTTACATTGTATTATCAATATATTTAAAAGAAAATAGGTGAAATTATGAAATTATACACATACTGGGCAATTGCATGGGTGTACATGGTGGAAGTACGGTAAACTGAAAAATGGAGTAGATTCAGTCCTGCTTTTGGCACATAGGATATTCAGCATGCTTTATGCTGGACATGCTTTATATTTGTCCCACCTTTATTACTTTATAAATAAGTCAAAGTGGCAAATATATATACTGTACTTCCTCCTATTTTTCCCACAAAAGCAGCCACCTTGTGAGATGGGTTGAGCAGAATGACTGTCCCAGAGTCACCAGCCAGTTTTCTTGTCTAAGGCAGGACTAGAACTCAGAGTCATCTGGTTTCTAGGCCAGCACTTTAACCACTTCACCAAACTGGCTCTCATTTGCTTGATTTTCAAGTAAATATTTAAATGTATTTAAATAATAGAGAGAAATAAAAAAAATACTGGAGCTTGCCAGTCTTACTAAAAATAAACTAATACAAATTTAGAATAAGTAACCGTTATGTAGAATTTCAGAATATGCATTTACATAAGTACTGGTTGCCACTAAAACAACACATTCAAGGAAATATGTATTGTGCATCCCTTCTATACAGTTTCAAGCAAGTAGCATATTAACAGGACACTTTTTAACATTTTATGTGTAAGCTAATATTTTAGAATAAGTAAAAGAAGCACTTTATATACAGAAAAAGGCCAACCAATGTTCTAGCTTCATGATTGTTTGCAGTGGTTTGGATGCAAATTATTATAGCTCCCACTAATAACTATACAGGTAGTCCTGAATTTATGACTATAATTGGTTTGATTGATTTACTGTAATAGTCATAAGTTGAGGCACTCATGTAACCAGACCTGATTTTACTACATTTTTCACAGCAACTGTTAAGCAAGAAACATTTGTTCATGGAAACACATTCTTTTGAATGGGAGCTTTTCACTGGAAATTGGCAAAAAAAAATGCTGAAAACCAGCAAATAACATCACAAATTGCAGCCATGTGACCACAAGATGTTGCAAACAATTATAAAGGCATGCTTGTGGCCAAGTGTCCAAAATGTGGTCATGTGACAATGGGAGCATGGTGTGACATTTTACAGTGGTCAGAAGTGACCTGTAAAGCACACATTCAGATTCTTAACAACCATTTTGAATGGTCATTAATCAACAGGTCAAAAGTTAAAAACCAGTTACAGGAGGGTAAGCAATTAAAATTTGAAAAAAGAGTATTTATTGCATGTACATTCTTTGAAAGTTGAAAATTGTCTACGTAGATATTTTCCCCCAATTTTAATTTCCTACAGGAATAGCTTTATGGGATTGATTGTTGTCAACCTTTCAAGGTACCGAGATCAGGAAGCACATTCCACAATAAATACTGGAACTTTATTGGTATAGGCTCAGTAATAGAATCTTGAAACCCTAACAGCATTTTCTCTTCCCTCACATGAGACCTGAGTCTTTGCACAATGTGTCCAAGAGATGATTTGAGCCTTATCATTTGTTCTCAAGTGAGAACTTTGATTTTTTTTTTCTAGGATCCATTTTATTTGTTTTCTTGGATATCCAATATAGGAAAACCATTCCGAGCACTCATCTGATCTTTGTAGGTGCACAGACTCATCACTGCATTTGAATATTCTTTCAAAATCCTTCATTGTTACCTTTTCAGTTGCTAGTCTATGGCATGATTGCTGTTTCTTTACTGTTGATAGGATCCTAAAATATAGAAGATCCACCACTCTGTTTTCATTGTCAGTTCTAAGGCCGATTGCTGTATCTGTTATCAATAGTTTGGTCTTCTTTATATTAGTCTTAGGCCCATTTTTTCACTATGTTCCTTGGCTTTCATTACAGAATAGGCTTTCAACTATAGAGAGTAGTGTCATAAGTGTAGCACTAGTTACTGTTGTTTTTTCCTCCAATTTTATAATCATACTCCTTTCTCCCTTAATATTGAGCATCCCTCAATATATATATTCAACAACATAAGTTGAATAAATAAGGAAAGAGCTTTGACTCACTTCTCTGCCAATCTGGAGCAAGCTTGTTTACAGTATTCTGTCTAGACAGTGGCTTCCTGTGCTTTGTGTAAATTTCACATGATGAGAGGGAGTTACTCCAAGATTCCCATTTTCTCAAGGACAGCCCACAGCTTAATATGGTCAACACAGTTAAAGCCTTTCCTTCATAATCATCGAAGCATATATTTTCTTTTTGGTATTCTTCAACTTGGTTGTTTGCTAGTATGTGTAAACTATAGTCTCTCATTCCTTACCTTTTTCTAAAATTGGCTTGATTACCTTTCTAAGTATGATTCTAAGAATCATTAATGTTGATTCTTCTGGGTTGCCTATCTCTTTGCTCATTGCTGTTTTTATCTGTTCTTCACACTGTGTGCTGCCCAGAGATGTTTTGAATTGGATTACAGATCCAACAAATTAATCTGCATTTCCCTAGTTTACATGGTGGGCTCTAATCTGTGTTGAATGATCCTAAGCATTATTTTGTCAGCAAGTGAAAATGGGGATATTTTACAAGACCAACCTCTCAATTTTTTTCTGTTCCCTCTAGTCACCTTCAAAGTCCCCTCTTTTTTCTCATAACCAGCACTTTCCCACAGGAAGGTTTCTTACAATTAGTTTCAAAATTATCTTAGTTTTGAAAAATTTTAAGCAACTCCCAGGAAGTTATTCTTATAATTTCAAATTCTTATTTTAAGTCCATTTGGCCCCTTTATTTATAAATTTCCAACATCGATGTTCTAGTTACCTTTTTGCTATTAATTTAGAAATTTTAAAAAAATTAAGTCCTTGCATGAAACTTGTTTGATCAAGGACAGAAGGAAACTTAACTTGGTGTAATGAAAGTTGCCCTTTTGAAGACTCTTAACATACAAAAGCTAGTAACAAGCTATTTCCTAAAAAGGTTAAGAAAGGGACTATGTGAAGCCAGTCTCCTTTTGAAGGTGCCAAACTGCACTTTAGGCAAGATGGTTTTCTCCACCGTCCTAGAGCTCTAAAACCTGCCGGAGACCACTGTCTTAACGATTTCCTCATGGGAAGCCACTGTATGGAGCACTTGGGGCAATCCTTGTCCTCTCCTTCTTCCAGAGAGGAATTCCAAAGAGCTGGTGCATTCACTGGCTCCTCTTTCTGCCCTGGTCATCAGAGCTCTGCTGTTGTGGAACTCTTCAATTCACCAATGCTTCTCCATAAGACCAGAACAAATACTCGATTTGTCCTCTTTTGTGTGCTTTCTATAATCTTCACACAATGGGAAGAGAACAGTGGGAACTGTCATTATAAGAAGTGATGTCTATTTCCGTGATGTTAGATGTAGCTAAGTATTCATTAGTGAATATCTAATTATTGGACTCCATCTTATTAATTTATACAATTTATACAATTACCTTAAACACTACCATGATCTGAATAATTCCTGTTGTTTCTCTTTTCCCTCTTCATTAGTAAACTTTTGCCAGAAAATATTTTTTGAAATTTTATAGTAATATTTTAGTAGCTAATTTAAAAAAAAAAGCCTGACCTAATATTTAGATCCGTAAAAATACATAAACTAAAACCTAAATAATAAATCAAAAGTTTCATTATATTATTTGACAAGCATAAAATAATGCAAAACATTAAAACAACACGCTAATCTAAATAATAGTAAAATAATTTAATTGCACATGATGTCTTTGATGTGAACTGTGACAGCAAAGTTTGAAACTTCAGAATAAACGCTATTGATAAATCCAATGCACCGTCATTACTTGGGATTTTACGGAAGAACACTTGTACGGGTGATACCTTCCAAAAACCCGTGTTTCCCGCCTGTGTACTCTCCGGATATACCGGATTTCGATTCCCCTAATTTTCTGTGTGGAAATCGTGGAGCTGAAGTCAGCATACATGGGAATGGGAACGGCAACAGGTTGGAAGGACTGCTCAAGAGTCGAAGTGCAAGTCCACTTCTGCGCCATTCTGTGGCTTGAGCACGGACACCAAGGGAAGAAACTGCAGGCTCGGTGGCTGCCTGGGCTCTTTCGGGGGAGGCTCGCTCGAAGCAGTCATCTGCAGGATGTCACCGCCATCCCACCCCGGAGATCGGACGGAATCAACGAGCGAGAGGTAGGCCCGGATGTTCCAGTCGCTGCGGTTGTCATGGATACGCGGCGTCTCTAAGCCTCACAATCTTACAAATCCCGCCCCGTTCCTGTTCTCAACCGGCTTTCAATCCGAGGATGCGCCCGCTGTCTTAGGCTCCACCCATTGTTGCCAAGGAAGTGAGGTCACATAATATGGCGGCCCGGTCCTAGCTGCGCTAAGGGTGGGGGGGGGGAAAAATCCGGGACTAAGGGGAAAATCGCTGTCCATCCTTCCCACCCGGGGTTCGCTGCCGCCCCCGAACACCTCGGGCGTCGAGAGACGGGACTAAAGGCCGCGATGGTCGCTGGTGCTCCGCTGCTCTGAGTCAGGGTCCTTACAACAGGGTTGGGTCCAATCGAGCCGCCTCGATGGAGTTGAGAGTCGGAAACCGGTACCGGCTTGGCCGAAAGATCGGGAGCGGCTCATTCGGGGACATTTACCTCGGTGAGAAGGCGCTACAAGATCCGAGCGGTTTCGGGAACTCGGGGTGTCGGAGGGCGTTGGGGGAGGGGGGGGGGCTGCGTCGGGAACCGGCTCCGGTAAGGGAAGAGTGGGGGGTTTTTGCTGGGGGGCCTTTCGTCCGGGCTGTCCTACTGGATTGACTCTGCCCGGCGAGGTGACAGAGGAACGCCCAAGAGCCGCAAATCCAGTATGAAAGCTAGAAGCCAGCCTCGGATCCCGTAACTGGGTCCCCAGCGGCGGTAGAGCCCTGTTTACTCGAAAGTAAGACTCGCTGCTTTCAGTGGTCTTTCCTCGAAGCGAACGCGATCGTGATTCTCCCTCTAATTCAAACCAGGGAGAAACGACAACGGAGTTGAAGTCGCGTCCAGTAACTTCCTTTGTGACCTTGGGCAAGTCGCATTCTGCCCTGCTTCTCCCCCATTTCCCTCTTCCTGGTTGCGATCGGAGGGGAGGGGGGAGAAATGTGGAAACAAAACGTAACAGTGCCTGGGTTGAAGACTACGGGCTTCTGCCAGCCGGTCGTGGGCAGACAAAAATCGTAGCTGCTTTTCTGTTAGCTCGGGAGGCCTTAAATAATATTCCAGAAAGTTTCGGGTATTTTGCAAACTAGCGGCTTTGGGGGAGGGGGGGGGAAGCCTAGAGTGAAAGTAAACGCTGGAAGAAATTTAGCTGGTTATTGTCAGCTTAAGTCTCCTGGTTTTAATCATACCGTAAACGTGAACCTTGAGGTCTGGTACCTTACATCTTGGGTAATGAATTTTTAATACATCCAGAAAGGATGATGTTGATTTTTCGGTTGCGTTTTATATGGTGTAAGCTCTTCTGGGTGTCTCCTTTCAGATTGATAAAATTTATGCAAAGGTAAGCCAGAAATACTGTTGACTGAAACTGATTCTGGTGAACAGCCCAGAATTCAGTCATACCAAGGTTTGTGACTACATTGCAATATACATTTGAATTGATACAATGGGATTGTGTACAAACGTGTCAGAATCTGAGCTGCTTCGTTTTAAATACTTTATGGATCTTAGAGCAATGAATCCGTCTTTAAGGTCCTCGTATTTTTGGTGACAACGTAACCCAGTGCTTTATATCAGCGACATCCACAACGAGATGACAACACATCCACACAATGACATAATCATACGAATGCTGTGATTACGTATTTCTCTCTCCATGTCTGACACAAGTATGTAAATCATGGTATTTGCATGATCATGTCATGTATTTGTTTTCTCTCCTTGTGGATACCCATAGTTTGTTAAAATGAATGAATAGCATTAAATAATGTATATTCAGCTTTCTTTTTTTAGCTGTTAGAGATGAAGGACAACATGAAAATCAATGCCAATTTGAATAATTGGCATATACAGCATGCTTTATTGTACTATTATGTTTTGAAGATTAATGGTGGATACTGTGCAAATGCAGCATTCTGAGATCTTTCCATTTTCTTAACTTGGAAAGGATCATGTACATGAGAAAGCTTAATGTGGTTTCCCTTCTACATGATACATAGAATGATATATAGTTATTTCAGTGTTATAAGGTAGTACTTTTGAAGCCATTTAGAAAACTCTGCACCCGGCACAAGAAGACCTATAATTCTCTTGCAGCTCCACCTATAATTAAAGTTGTTATACAAGTTTAAAAACTTCATATATGTATCTTGTTTCTAATACCCCGGCCCATTAAACTATCAGACAACAAGCAGATGTTTACCTTATGTGAGGGACAACTACATATTTTCCTTGTGAGAATGTTATATAAGAAAAGTAGATGTGTTTAGCTTATGTAGGAAATGGGTGTAGCAAAATTAAAGTAGCTGTTGGTGTTTCATATATCTTTGTACTTCAGCTATGCATATGATCTTTGTACTTCAGCTATGCATATGATCAGAATTTTTTTGAATACTGACATTTGCGAAGCTACAAAGAATAGTGTAGTGGGCAATATTTTAAAGTGTTTTTAAAAGATTTAAATATTCAGTTGAAATTAGGGCGGATTATCACTTCTTAGTATTTGAAGAGACTTTCTCTTAATAGCAAAGTGTTTGATATCAATGCACATTGGTGTGTTTGGTAATTGTCAAGACAGGAATAGTTTACATACTAAAGAACTTGCAGCCAGAACTTTCATATAATTATGCACTTGTTTTACTTCAGTTTGAATGTACTACAGAACTGTTGCCTTCCCCACTTCGAAACTTTAGAGTTAGGAAGTATGTCATTTCAGTGAAAATGGGAGAAGTACTCTTTAAAGTGAATTTCCTTTGTCCATTGAGTACCACTTCATATGGTATGCCAACAGTTAATAGTACATTCTGAGAGCCAACTTGATGTAGTGGTTAAGGCATCAGGCTAGAAACTGTGAGACCATGGGTTTTAGTCTGATTTTAGGCACAAAGCCAGTCGGGTGATCTTGGGCCAGTCACTTTTTCTCAGCCTTAGGAAAGAAGCAGGGGCAAACTTTCAAGAAAACTGCAGAGACTTGTCCAGGCACTTGCCAGAAATAAAAAAAAAAACTACTGACTAGGAAACACACAAAATAGTACATTCTACATGAATAAAATTCTCTTAAATGACTAGGAAGCTTGAAGTAAATAGTTATTCCATCAATGTAAGATTTCCAGTTTTATTTATTTATTTTTTGTTTATCAGATTTGCGTAGTTGCCCATATCACAAGAAGTGGGCAGCATACAAAAATCAAATAAAAAGAATGATATAAATACCACCATTATAAAAATAGAAAGCAATAATGATTAAAAATTAAAATAAACACAGACGTGGAGAGAGTAAATAAATATTGGAGCCATCATAAAATGTTACTGGATTCTTGGGACCCCCCAGCCTAGTGACATAACCAGGTCTTGAGGGATTTCTGGAATATTAACAGGGATGAAGCTAACCTGACTTCACGGGGGAAGTATGTTACATAAGGCAGGTATCACAGTACAGAATTCCTATCTCCTGGGATCTACTAAAAGTAAGTCCCTAGCAGATGTTATTCACAGCATGCCTTCTCTGCCAGATCTAATGGGAAAGGCTGATGTAATTGGGGATAACTTGTCTCACGGTTCAATTTTAATAAGCTTTTGAACCTTTTTTTAACATTCCCATATGTCATTTATTAGGTTCATATAATATATACTACAGCGTGCTGGAGAATGGATCTCAAATGTGGTGAACACTGGTGTTCTGAGAGGCTCAGAACATTGGAGTTTTCTAGAGAGGACGGTGTTAGCTAAACTGCTAGCAGATGCCAATGTTCTGAGCCTTCCAAAATGGCGGTGTTTGCCAGCGTTTTCACCAATTTGAGTTCCATTTCTCCAGCGCATCAAGGGATTTTGGCGTGCTGGAGGTAAAAAGGAAAAGGAGTACCTGCAGATTTTACTCCGCTAGTTATTGCCAACTCTAGGGGGTGGTGCTCATCTCTGTTTCAAGGCCATTGAGCCAGTGCTGTCCAAAGACATTTCCGTGGACATGTGGCCAGCATGACTTCACAGAGTGTTGTTATCTTCCCAACAAAGTGGTTCCTATTTACCAACTCGCATTTGCATGCTTTCAAACTGCTAGGTTGACAGGAGCTGCAGTGAGGGTGGGAGCTCAGTCCCATTGCATCGCGCTTGGCTCTCAAACCACACCGTCCCGTGCTGGAGGAAAGGACTTCAAATCTGGCAAAAGCACTAACAAATATTATTCTCACAATCATTCTCCCCGGTAGGCCGGGAAGAGGGCCCAGGGCTCTTGGAATCCTCAACCCTATTCCTACCCCACCCAAATCAGGAAGCCTGGCCCCCCTTTCTGGCACTCCACTTAATGATCTGTGCAGACACGTAATGATTGCAGCTTTGAGAGCTGGGATTGCAGTTGTTGAGCAGAGTAGTCATGTAGTGTCTCACTTAACTGATTTGTGCAGTGACTCAGATTCCAGACCCAATTGTGGTCATAACTGGAGGACTACCTGTATATAGTAGTAGGGATATGATTCACTCTCTCCACTCAAGCCTAAGTTTCCATTCCTGACCCCTGGTTTAGATAAGGCTCAGCTAAATTTCATATCAAGTAATATTGTGACAGTATATTTAGAATTCAGTTTGTTGTTTTTCTTTTCTTTAATAACCAGATTACAAAGAAATAATAATGTTACATGCCTACGCATTTGAGATTTATATATTCCATTTATTTATTTGCCAGCTGACTCCTAGCATCTCTGGGCAGTTTATAAAATGTTAAAAAACATTTTAAAACAAGAAAACAGCATAAAACCAAAAAAAAGAAAGAAAGAACAAAGATGGCAAATTTAATTATTGAATTAAGATGAGAACAAAGAAAAGGGGCTTTGTTCACCCTTGCCAAAGGCCTGGGTGAAGAGCCAGATCTTTAGGACCCTTCAAAACATGTAAAGTGGGAGCTACTCCATGGTTGGGGGTGAGAATCTCATTCCAAAGGGTAGACACTGCTACAGAGAAGGACACCTCTGGGATCCTGATAGATAGTATTGGTTAATTGAATGAGCCTAGAGCACCCTGCCAGGTTGGATCAGATGGGCAGATACTATGGGAGACATAGTTTGAATGAGAACCCAAGACTTTGTAATGTGGGATGAAATTGATTCCTGAAATGGAAAAAAAAAGATCAAATCCCATGATCCTGCCTATTGGAAACACAGCAATACTCTTGTTTCTACAGCCATCTATAATCAGTCTCGTTATATATACACATTTTCCTAGCACTGAAGAATATTCTGAATTTTTTGCCAATTTTTTTTTGGTACAATAGCTTTAGATTTCCAACAAATCATATTATTGTAGCAGACCAATAATCTAGTCATGAAACTAATTTTATGTATCCGAGATGGCTTTCAACTTGTTTGTGACAACTTTTTGTACAATATGGTCAGCTTCTCTTGAAGCTGAATTTCAAAATTACCAATAGTCCTCATGGCAATTTGGACTATAATTTATATTGCTAAGTGATGCGGCCCTAAAGCATGAAGTCATGTGACCACACTGCTTAGCAACATCAGTCCTGATTGCCATCATAAGTCCAGGGCCACACGACTCATGAAGTAAGGCTCTCCCATGACTGTATCATGGGAAGAGCAGGAGTCACAGGCAAACAGGCTGGTAAGCAAGAACTACAGGTAGGCAGACAGTTGTCATGGAGGGAGTGCCTTGGGTGGCTGCTACAGAGGATGAATGGGTGGCTACACAATGGAGTGCAGGCAGACAGGTGCCATGCAAGGGGGGACACTTAGAGCATGGATTGGCAGGTGCTGCAGATTGGTGCTATGGAGTGTGGGCAGGTGAAAAAATGGTAGGAGTGAGAACAATTTGCAACAGCTAGTTGACAGTCATTCGAATCGTGATCTTGGGAACGCAATCACAGACTTTTTTTAGTCCCTTGTTCGGTGATGACATAACTGAATGGTTATTGAACAAATGGTTGTAACCCAAGGACTATCTATACCGTAATTTATTGAGATCACATGGGAATCATGAAAAAAATACTCAGTTGTTTTATTTGGCTAGTATGAATTCACAAGTGTGTTGGATTCATACAAAGTTTAGCCAAATTTGGGGTCCACTGATTTCAGTAAGAAAAAGTCAAATTGAAGGGAATTTGTGTGTCTTTGTCCCATACAGTCTTTATCATTTTGTAATGCATTTTAAAAGTTTTTTCCCTCAGACATTTCAAGCTCTTAAGTAATAGGATTTTAATGTATAGTTTTCATCTATTCTGGATGTCACATTTTTATTATTTATATTTTTTTATGGAAGAAGATGATCTTTTTATGATTTCAATTGAGTTAATTTAAAAATAAAACTACTGTAATGGTTTCTAACATGCATTGGTGACTTAATGTGTGATATGAACCTACCCAGTTGTTACCATGGATTAGCATGATATGCAGATCCAATCATCCAAACAAGAGAAAGTAAAACCTTGTCTGTATTTCATTTATTTTAGGCAATAGATCAAAAATAAAAACCAAAGAAGAGTGAAAACATGGATAATATTACTGCAAACATGGAAATTATTACTGCAAACCTGGATGTGACACAAAACAGACAGAATGAAATTGAGATAGTTAATACACTGCAAAAATATTTTCTTGCTTTTATTACCCTTGACAGAAGTTTGGCCACTTTTATTACACAGTTAGAATATTCCGATTAACAGAGGTCTAGTATGAAATTAATGTGCAGAACGTTGGTAACAGCTATTATTGGGGCAGTTATCTTCTGGCTCTTCAGCATTAAATCTACAAAACAGGAAATATGTTCAGCTGAGTTTTTCTGTTGGTTGTTATAAGAATAAACTTGTAAAGCTAAAGGAAGTCTTGCTTATCTCCCACAGAGCATTTTGAAAATTATTCATTGAATGAGACCAGAGAGAAAGCTAATTGGTATTCAACTAGATTGATATTTCAGCTAACTGAATTTTCATGGGAAATGTCTACAGAATTGTATAACAAAACTTGTACAAGCCGTAACAAGAATTTAGGTGCAGTTTCATTTGAAATTTGATTCACTCTGGGAAATATTAGAACAGTTGAATCTGTCTGCACATATGGCAGGTTCATTACTATTGTAGATTGATTTGTTTTTTGATTTTATACTGTACTAGACCACCTGTGACCCATTGGGTCATCCTTTGAGAGAAAAGCAGTGCAATATGGTGTGACCAAACAAAATAATAAATTTTAGGTTGAACATAATTCCAATATTGCCCAGATCTGTAATCATCTAAGAAGAATATCTATCCTAAATAGAAAGATTATTGTAGTGGCAAATAAATTTCCATAATAAGACAATATTTACTTACCTAAATAAACAGAATGACTACAGGTGGGGAAAAATGCAGTGAGAGTGGGAGCTACTTCTGACGTCTTATCAGTTTCCCTGTTGAATTTGTTTGTGGGAAGTTGGCAGATCACATAACTACAGAGACTTTGCAACAGCCACAACTTTGCAAATGAAACCCTTTTGAACATCCTGGAAATTGGGTCCTGGATTTTTTAATGCATTTTTTAAGTTAGAACCTTACTTTTTTCACCACTGAATTTCATTTTGTTAGATAGCGCCAAGTCTGTCAGGATCCTTCTGTATCTTAAGCCTACTTTCTGGAGTGTTGGTTATTCCTGCCAGCTTGGTGTCATCTGCAAATTTGATGATTTCCCCATCTATCCCCTCATCCAGATCATTGATGAACATGTTGAAAAGCACTGGGCCTAAAAGAGAGCCTTCAGGTACTCCACTGCATACTTCCCTCCATGTAGATGCAGTTCCATTGAGGACCACGTGCTGAGTGTGGTTGGTCAGCCAGTTATGAATCCATCTGGTGGTGATGTTGTCTGGTGGATCAGATGCCTGATAGCAAAGCTCAAAGCTTGTCAAAGCATTGAATTATAACATTGAATTATTTTCTTTAAGGTACTGACATAGCTGCTGGAGAAGAAGTTGCCATCAAATTGGAATGTGTCAAAACCAAACATCCTCAACTCCACATAGAGAGCAAAATTTACAAAATGATGCAAGGTGGAGGTAAGCTTTTTTTTCCCCCTCATGAATCATGCAGGCACAAATATTTCACCTCTAGAAGTCTTTCAAATCGGTAAAGAAGGGTGATGCTTACCTGAGCAGTGCTGTAATGAGAGAGTTTTCATTAACAGTACCACCTGAGCACTTTCTACCTGTATTTTCCCCACATTTCATAAATTATTATTAAAGAATGATATTGTCTAAGCATAGGTATAAAATCAAAGAAAAAAAGTCATGACGATGGCTTTCTTTGCTTTGTGCTAGTAGTCACTGACTTATTTTTTAAAGCTTTTTAAAGCTAGAAAAAAAAAGCAGAAATCTTCATAACACGTTGAAGATGGGAGAAGTAGAGAGGCTGAGCCTGTTTCTTTCCATACTTGAAATATTCAGTTAAAGCTGTATGTTGCCTGCTACAAGTTTTTGCATATTCTATATGCAGATAAGTAAGGACTTGAAGAACACTATACAAAAAGACTAAATAAAAATCTGCCATGAACATTCCTTTGAATACTTAAATATTTTGGCACTCTTTTTCCTTACGTTCCAGTTTGACAGATTAAATTTTTATATGATTTGGCCAGCAAAGAACTGTGATAAAGCTTTTGCCCTCTTTTCATTTTTGACTTCCTACTTGAATGTGCTTTAAGGAAAGGATCATGTATTGTGAATGTATAGTATTTTAGTAATTTCCAGAAAAGAAAAATAATGTAAATTAAAGTAAATGTGAAGGCATCACATTGATTTTCAGTGGCTCTCAAATCTATATTGTGAAGGCCTCACATTGATTTTCAGTGGATATCAGATCTATAACGTGCTATGAATAATCTATTTTTACATATTCTAGTGGGCATTCCCACAATCAAATGGTGTGGTGCCGAAGGTGACTACAATGTAATGGTGATGGAATTGCTAGGACCAAGTCTTGAAGATCTCTTTAACTTCTGCTCAAGGAAATTCAGCCTCAAAACTGTTCTTCTACTTGCTGACCAAATGGTATTAGAATCATTGTATTTCTTGGCTATTAGAAATGAGAGTTTCCTAAAAACCTCTCCCTGCTTATGTGTTGTGCGCTTTTTCTGAATAAATGTTGTAAATACTACAAGTTAGCTTTTCTTTCTATAAATGTCACCCAAAAGCTAGCATTTTTTTTTGTATAGCAGTGATCAAATGTTGTGGTTAGGGCTGCTTTATACTGTGATTTATAAATTAAATAATGATTTACAGTTTATATTTTCAAACACAAGTCCTATCCAGTGAGATCACAACCTCCTTTTAAAGAACATCGCTTTTCTAAATGTGGTTCTTAGAACGTGAAGATCAAATAAGTAAATAAAATAGTGTACTTCGTTTAATGTTTAAATGTTAGCAAAATATAATTTTAGTGTTATTCAGAATAAAGGAAGAGCTGAATGTATAGAGTTTCATGTTTACTAATTCTGGAATTGTGTTTTTCTACAATTAGATAAGCCGAATAGAATATATTCATTCAAAGAACTTCATCCATCGAGATGTAAAGCCGGATAATTTCCTGATGGGATTAGGCAAGAAGGGCAACCTTGTCTACATCATAGATTTTGGGCTGGCCAAGAAATATCGTGATGCTCGTACTCACCAGCATATTCCTTATCGTGAAAATAAAAACTTAACGGGAACTGCCCGCTATGCCTCCATTAATACTCATCTTGGAATTGGTGAGCTGGTGGTAGATTTTTGTAACTGTTAACTAAATTGTTGTAGAGTAAGAGTACCAGAAAAATCAAAATATATAACTTAACTGATATATGATAGGAGATACTGTGTATTATGAGCACACATTTAATATTTAAATCACATTGCATTGCAAACAACTTGATGTTTTTCTAATTGAGTCAGTTGATAGATGCATCATTCATGGATGGGTGGTTGGGGTGGTTGGTTGGGTGGATTTGAATGGGATTTATCTTATCCTGGATGGATGCATGGCTGGATGGATGAATGGTTGGTTGGATGGATGGATGGATTTGAACGGGATTTATCTCATTCTCGAACCCAGTGGATTCTAAGCAGTGTAAAATGTAAGAGTACAATTTAACAATAATAATACAAAATGCAACGTTTTAAGTTTAGCACTTATGACTCCATGTTCGTCAATTATGAAAGGCCTTCCAGAATAGTCAAGTTTCTACCTGCTTCCAGAATGCCATGATGATGGAGCCATTTTTACTTCAGGGGCAAACTAGTCTAAAGGAGGAAAGCTCCCATAGAGAATTGGAACATGAAATAGTAAAGACATTCTTTGCAGTTGAAGCTGATAGAAGTTGTCATTTCCTGGATGAGTGATTGAATACCTTGCTATTTTATTCTGGGCTGAAAAGAATAACAATAAACTTTGCAGATTGTGATTTGGCTCAATTGTCTGAGTCAACTTTAGTTTCCTGCTTTTACTTGTGTATGCACCAGTTCTCTGATCTTGCAACATTATTTACAAGCCTGCTTAAAATAACTATATAATAGTGTTTTTTCTTGTAGTTAAGTTGTAACTTTAAAATCTTGCCTACATAATTTATTGCTTTAAACATCTTTGCACTCTTTCTCCAAATAATAGAACCTAATGGCTGTACTCTTATACTCCTTGTAGAACAATCTCGCAGAGATGACTTGGAGTCCTTGGGCTATGTACTCATGTATTTTAACCTGGGCTCCCTCCCCTGGCAGGGATTGAAGGCAGCTACAAAAAGACAGAAATATGAACGCATCAGTGAAAAGAAAATGTCTACTCCCATTGAGGTTTTGTGTAAAGGATACCCTTGTAAGTTCCCTCTCTAGAATAAATTTCTTTACTTTATGTTTAAAGCTAAGTTTATAGTAATGCTTCTTTTAATGTAATGTCACATATTTTGCTGTATTTCTATTTTAGGAATAATCCTGGAACTAACTTGCATAAATTATCTCTGAGTTGAATGAATGTATGTAAACTGGCTATTAAATAACTTATTCCCTTCATTCCCTTTGTCGTTTCAGAGAATAATATCTGTTCATAAATTATCTATTGTATACAATATTCTTATGACGAACAGCTCACTGTATAGCTAGCCCTCCATTAACAAGTATTTTTCTTATTGATTGAATTTTTGTATTTCTAAATTTGAAAATCTAGCACTTAATTCACCTGCATTGTTCGTTTTGTAAAATTCTTCTTTAAGAATACATATCCTTATAATGTTAGCATTTGAAACCGTATAGAGCAGATTCCCCATTTGTACATTGTGTCATCCCAAAGATGACACAGTGAAATCCAGTTGAGTCAAATCTTTCAATTTACTTACACCTAATGGACAGAAACTTGTCGAGCTAAAACTATAAGCCTCTACCCTAATAAACACAGTAAATACATGCAAAGTCTTAGGCCACCATTAATTTTGTTGTTGGTATAATGTTGTTGATGGTATAATAACCATAATATAATTATATCTCAGTCTCCTTATTAGAATACAACCAGAAAATACAGGAAATTTGTATGCAGTATTCAAAAACAGAAAAAAGCAGGAAAAACAGCTTCCATAGGCGAAAGTGGCAAGTATGTCGTGTGACTTCCCCTTACACTTGAGCAACGGTAGACACTTGGATCCTATAAACCTAAATGGAATCCTAAGTACTATTATTGTTAGCACCTGTTTGTGTCCTACTATTTCATGCCGAAATGACTGCTGTGCCAAAAGGTCTATTATACCAGGTTTGTGCAAGACGTGCTTGAACATTACATTCAGTACATACACATGTTGTATGAGTGTAATTCATTGGAAACTGGCTAATAAGACCCAACTTCCAATCACATCATTCCAGTCAAAATGTCAAAGATCACAGAATGTGACAGACATAAAATCATACCTTTGCATCAGCAAAACCATTCTTGAAGGGAAATCAACAAACAAACTGGATATTCAAGATGTGGTATTCAAGCTGTTATACAGAAATTTGAGGAATCAGCAGAGATCAAGGACAAAAAAAAGGACTGTAAGGCCAAGGAAACTTTTAAATTCAAGGTCCTCAGAGTTTCTTCTTTGCGAGACCAAAGAAAGTCCAGCAAGGATCTGACTCAGCATCTGGCAGCTTCATCGGAATGCCAAGTTGGCCCTTCTACAGTCCAGCGAAGCTTGATCAGGAATGGACTTTGTGGAAGGGGAACAGCCAAGAAACCACATTTGTGGAAGTGGAACGGGTAAAAAGGCTAAGATATGCTAAAGTTCACAAAGATTGGAATGAGGATCAGTGGAAAAGAGTATTATAGAATGATGAATCCAAGTCTGAAATGTTTGGGTCTAATCATTGACAATATGTGAGAAGACGACTTGGAGAGAGATGGATGGATGAGTGATTGCAGCCTTCAGTGAAACATGGTGGAGGGTCTCTTCTGTTTGGGGGCTGCATTTCTGCCAGCGGTATTGGTGATATCCATATTGATGGGATCATGAAATGCAGAAAAGTACAGGCGTGTTTTAATTCATCCTGCCATTACTTCTGGAAAGCACCTGATTGGCAGTAGGTTTATATTTCAGCATGGTAACAATCTCAAACACAATGCTGCTGCAGTGAAATCATATTTAGTGAGAAAAACAGCTGATAAAATCCTGAGAGTCATGGACTGGCCTCCCCAAGGTCCAACCCTGAATATTATAGAGGCAGTGTGGAATCACCAGGACAGAGAAAGAAATAAAAGACAACCTAAATTTGAAGAGGAACTCTGGAAAAGGCTGAAAGAAGCTGGTATAATATACCAGAAGATTACCTCAGAAAACTTCGGGACAGTCTCCTCAAAATAGTTCAAGATGTGCTTAGAGCCAAGGGAGGTCACGTCAGTACTGACTTTTGCCAGAAGAAGCCATTTTGATCTGAAAATTGTGTTTGTTTAAATTTTTGTGTACATTATTTCCTGTCTTTTCTGTTGAAATCTTAATATAGAGATTGAAAAATAATTATGGATGGTCATTAACACTTTGCTAAACAAACAACAAACAGGTGGTGGCCTATAGCTTTTGCACAATACTGTATATCCTAAGGGATACTAGGGTGTAAATACCCCGAACCTCTTCCTCATTCAGCCCAGGACTGTGCAGTCTCTTAATTTGGGCTTCTCTCTGGAATGTGCTGCGTCCTCCTTAGGAAAGCTCTGGGCTGCCAAGACCATGGCTTCTTCAGGGACACATTCCATCACAATTACAGGATGAGCAGAGCCTTTATTTAGTTTAACAGCCACCCCAATAATTACATAAAATCCTAAGGCAAATATGGAAGTATAGTGTGTTGGTACATTTACAGTGGACCTTTTGTTTGCGTTGATTTTCTGCTAATATAAAATTGGGATTTTTCATTGCAGCCGAGTTTGCTACCTATCTGAATTTCTGCCGCTCGCTGCGTTTTGATGACAAACCGGATTATTCATATCTAAGACAATTATTCAGAAATCTCTTCCATAGACAAGGCTTCTCCTATGACTATGTATTTGATTGGAACATGCTCAAATTTGTAAGTATTTAATTGTCAAAAATTGGGAATGCTAAAAAGGAGTTTTTGATTAAATATAATGTACAGTATCACGGGACTGTTACTCCAAAGCCTAAATTCTTATGTTGAAATTCACTTGATGGTGAATTTAATGAAATGTAAAGCAACATTCTCTGTTGAACACACAGCTTTCGGGTCTGCAAAGAACTTGTTCAGAAGGCTTTAGACCTTACAGGTTTTTTTTCAGGAACCATGTACTATGTGTAGAGGTAGTCCTCAACCATTCATTTAGTTACCATTTACAATTAAAAAGGCACTAAAAAAGGTAATTTACGACTGGTCCCTTACATTTAGGATTATTACAGCATCCCCATGGTCATGTGAGTAGAATTCAGGCACTTGGCAACTGGCATGTGTTTATGACAGTTTGCCCTGTCCCAGGGTCATGTGATCATCATTTGTAACCTTCGTAGCTGGCTTCCGACAAGCAAAATCAATAGGGGAAGCCAGATTCGCTTAACAGCTGAAGTGATTTACTTAAGAACTGTAGGAAAAAAAAGTTTGTAAAATGGGGCAGAACTCACCTAATAAGTGCCTTGTTTAGCAACAGAAATTTCGGGCTCAGTTGTAGTCTGTAGGTTGAGGAGTACCTGTATAACCTTTTTGACTCGGCATGGCTCCTACTTATTCCACTCAGTTCATTTTCAACTACATCAACAATAACAGTGTCATGCTTTAATTCTTCTGAAATCTTCCAGTCTCAGATCTTTTGTGCTTTTAGTGCATGAAGCTTTTGTTGTTTACAGCCTTTCTCCTCCCCCACATACTTTTGACCTGGAAGACCCCATTTCTACAAATACCAAATTTGTAGTGGTGAACATCTTTTTTCAGATGGGCAGAGCCTTTGCCTTGTTCACTTTGGGAAAAATCATGCAATAGGTTCTTTCAAATACTATATATGAAGACTCATAATCATTTGTTCCCATTGTGAGCCATCTGCTGGGAACAATATAGGGCGGATGACAAGGCTACCATAGTTTTTTTATCCTCATCTTTCTCTAGAATTTGTACAATGCCTCAGAAGTTGTCTGGGACTTTTCTTGCCCCTTTTGAATCCATCTGAGTTCCCTCAATCCTGCTGCTAGTACTCTGTCCTATTCAATGGCCAAATCTTCTGTGGTCAAGTCGTCTATATTCCTATAGTTATACCAGTATGGATCATCATTTGTAGATTCTTTGCCCAAGAGGAAAACTTGATTCAGAGCGGAAATTTACATTAGATCTCAATCAAGATGCCTCTCTCCATCATCCTTACTTCCTCCAAATAACCAAGCCAGGGCCTTTCTCCTTTCATTCTGCATAAATAGATTTTAAGGTGCAAAATTCACTCTTCCCCCACTGCTGTTCTAGAGAAAAAGACAGCAGTAACCAACCCACTATATACTGTACATAGCCAGTTATATTTATGTGCATTAATATCTGGTAACGTTGATTGAACTTTAATGTCTAAGGCAGCACTAGAATTCACTCTTTATGGCACAAGAAGAAGAAGAAGGCTTCTAACTAGTGCTTTAACCACTAGGCCAAACTGACTCACTAGTTCCTGCTCTATTGCAGAACTAAAGAAATAAGGCTGATAAAATTACTTGCCTAAGAGCAGCTATTAAGTCAGCATCTGATTTGGGCCAGTTCTAGCAAGATATTATCTATGACTTGCTGAGTGGTGTAAATAAGAACAGCCAAATGGAAACTGCTAGCCTAAACCAGGGGTAGGCAACCTTGGCTCTTTTATGACTCGTGGACGTCAACTCCCAGAATTGCCCAGCCAGCATGGCTGGTTGAGGAATCCTGGGAGTTGAAGTCCACAAGACTTAAAAGCTGTCAAGTTCTAAAATATAGAGTCCCTATTTATAGGTTCTGTTCTGGCTGCCTGCATTATCTCCAACTACTAGCCATGGTAATTGTTTTTTCTGGAAGGGTGCAAGCCGAGCAGTAGAAGATGCTGAGCGTGAAAGAAGAGAGAGAGAAGAAAGAATGAGACACACACGCAATCCAGCTGTTCGTGGATTACCTTCCACTGCCTCCGGGAGGCTAAGGGGGACACAAGATGTAGCTCCACCAACTCCTCTTACTCCAACGTCACATACAGGTAACTGAACAAGCCTTAAATAATAATTGTTTTGTACTAGTTCTTTGTTCAAAACTGAAAAAAATGTGTTTTCAGAAAACTCTTTTGAAGAAAAGAAATGGGAATGCTGATAGTTATAAGAAAAAGCAATGTCTAAGTTTGTTTTCTGTTACTTCTTCCGAGAAAGGGATCAGGTTACCTCTCTTCTTTTTCTCCCTCCATATTTTTCTCAGCAGTTATGTGAGATAGATTTGGCTGAGAGACCCTGAATTGTTGCAAACTGATCCAGTGAATTTTCTAACTGATCAGGGATTTGCAACAAGGTCTTCTCAACTCTAGTCTAACTATAATACAATGTTGCAATTATACCTAGCATGGCAAAATTTTGAGGTACTCATGAACCAAACTTCTGTTGTTTTCACTGTACAAACCATGTTTCCTCCTGCTTACAGAACAACTGGTAGTGATACATTTAGGTTGACCGATGCCCTCAGCCGTCATTGAAGACATACTTTTTCATGGCATTACAAATCGGGGTCACCTACATTTAAATTAAATGCTGTTTATTACCTAATGCTAGTGTGGCCAGCCTTATATTACGAGTAAATATTACTATCAAGAAGACTTCACATTCTAGTGCTCTTTGAAATGAATTTATATGTTTGTATTTGGGAAGGAGGCACTTGAGTTGGGACATCTTTGTCTCTCTGTTTCTGTGATGAATATTAGCAGAAAATCTTAGTATTAAGGTTGTAGGTTCTTCAAGGTACACAGTACCCCATTAGGACCCATAGGGCAGAGCAGTAATAGCAGATCAGAGGTTTGAGGGATTGCTTGATAAGAAGCCGCTTCCTGCAATTTGTACAATCTCATTGAAGGAACTGCACAATACTAATTACTTAATTTTGGGATTAATATCCCACCATAATCAATCCAAGTCTTGGCAGTGAATATAGTGAAATGATCATTTAAACATCGACATAGAATATCAGTATAAATGACAATAAGTCCAGGAGAATGAAATAATAAAAATGGCGCAGCAAAATAAGTCAGCATAACTATGAAAATGCTCTCCTGGAATAATTCAGTTTTTAATAGCTTCCTAAAAGCCAGGAGATAGGGAGGGGCGGGGGAGAGTGGCAGGACTCATCTCCAATAGAAGCCCATTCCAAAGCTGTATAGGTAGTCCTTGGGTTACAGTGGCAGTTAGGACTGTTATCTCTGTGGCTAAACAGTGCATTTGTAAAGCACAATACAATATGATTGCATTGCACTGAAATTCCAGTAGTCCCAGTTGCCGTAATCTCAAGGCCATGCAGGTTGTTAAGTGGGGACCTCCCATGACCACAACATGGGAAGAGGCAGAAGTTCCCAGTAAGGTCAGTGGGTAAGAGCTACAGGCTGAGGGAGATGAGGTGCTGCTGCTTCCAGGCCTCTATTTTAGGCCCAGCAGTGGCCTGAGTGCCACCTCAAGCACCACACTGCAACAAGCCTCAGCAGCACCAGTGGCCTGAAACCTCAATTCTCATGTCCTGGAGTTGTGGAACCAATAGCAGCTATAGTAATGTTAACATTATTCTTTGTGGTTTATGCAGTGAATCTATAGCAAAAAAGGCCGTGCAAAATGAAAACGTTCAGAATGTCCTATTGGAATGTTTCATGTTGAGTGTATTTCAACTGAATAAAATGCAAAATTCAAAGTGTAAAATCTTTCTCAGGTTATGCTTGTCTATTGATTTAAAGCTGTACATGCAGTGCACAGTTTGTGTATTTGTCCTTGCCCACTAGATGAGGCATCCAAGCAGCATGATGTGTAACAGTCTTGAAAGATCAGCAATTCAACAACTATTGTGTGTAATGCATTGCATATTCTTGTGTCTGTAAACCTGCCCGAAGAAAAAACACAGTACAAGTGAATCCCATAAGTAATATCATTATATCTCATGAACTAATTTCCTACTAGCAACAAATTTAAAAACAGCAGTTTGTATTAGGGAAATTTTTGAACAAAATTAAACTTGGCTAATATGTCCCTCCTTTCGTTTTATTGACTAATGGATTCTGCAACTCTCCATGACTTAGCAATTTAAAAATAAAAACAAGCCAATCTCTTGACATCTCAGTGAAACAATTTGGCACAAAATGCCCATTTTGCAATGATCTCGGGATAGATGATTGAACATAGAGTGTTTTGTTCCAAGTTTATAATGCTCAAAATGGCTATTTTGAGCCTGTAATACTTTGAACACTTCCTGTTGTTGGTATTTTATTTCAGAGGGAATTACATCATACTGTAAAATACAAAACACAATAAATACAAGTTTTAGGACTGTATTTAATGGATTGTGGATTATACAAGCTAAGCAATAGATTCTGTAGCTCTTTAGTTGAAAACATTCATAGTGCACAATCCATTAATATTTAACATTCTTCTAAAGAGGGGCCAATAAGGAAACATGGACTTGACAGAAAGAGTACAGAGAAAAGCAACAAAGATGATCAGGGGACTGGAGGCTAAAACATATAAGGAACGGCTGCTGGAATTGGGTACAGTATGTCTAGTTTAATGAAGAGAAGGATGAGGGGGGACATGATAGCAGTGTTCCAGTATCTCAGGGGCTGCCACAAAGAAGAGGGAGTCAAGCTATTTTCCAAAACGCCTGAAGGCAGGACAAGAAGCAATGGGTGGAAACTAACCAAGGAGAGAAGCATCCTAGAACTAAGGAGAAACTTCCTGACAGAACAATTAACCAATGGAACAACCTGCCTCCAGAAGCGGTGAATGCTCCAACACTGGAGGTTTTTAAGAAGAGACTGGACAGCCATTTGTCTGAAATGGTATAGGGTTTCCTGCCTGAGCAAGGGGTTGGACTAGATGACCTCCAAGGTCCCTTCCAACTTTACTATTATTATTATTATCATTGAGATCAGCTCCTGATCGAACAGACATTTGTGTGTCCTGTGCCAGATCTCCCAATGCCTCCTCCGCCATCAGAGTCACCCAGGCTCCTTACCTTACCATAATGCCTCTCTACTCTCTGCTTGAATTTTGACTCATTCTCATTTCTGGGGCTGGCTGAAAGAGCTACCCACCAAAGTATTTTATCTCCCCCCTCCATGCATGGAAGAGCTCCTTTGGGGGGAGGGGTGCAGAAATGGAACTGAAAACTTCAAGAGTCCTTTCAGCAGGTGGCAGCAGCTTGCCATTTTTCCTACTGCTTCCCTATTGACTTTCTGGGGAAGTCAGCAGAGATTACAAATGACAATTACATGATCACAGGAGGTTTGGTACCCAGATCACAATAATGTGACCGTGAAGGTGATAGTACAACATTTGTGCGGCCATCGTTATTTCAGACTACTGTTAAACAAATGGCCGTAAGTCAAGGACTATCTGTATAAGATTTACATCTTTTATTCAGGAGTTCAAGCCAGTATACACAACTAACAACGCACTGATGATGTTTCCTGGTTGGGTAATAAAATGTCAGCAAGCAAACAGCCAAGGCCAAAGAACACCAAGGATTTCACAGTTCAGCCCCAAGCTATAGATACTGTCTACACTTCTGTTGGAATATGTAATACTCCCTTCTCCAATTTTTCCAACAACAATCCTGTAAGGTAGATTGGGTTTAGAATGAGTGACTAGCCCAGAGCTACCCAGGGAGCTTTCGTGGTTTTGGGCAAATTAGAACTAGGGTCTCCCTAATGACAGTTCAACCATACTGACCTATATATTATCTCCAACAAGAATTTCTATAGAATTCTGAAATAATTTATAACCAATTTTTCTATGTAAAAAATCTGATAATAGCTTACTTTTTTTGGTCAGCAAATACATCTCCTCGACCAGTTTCTGGAATGGAGCGAGAACGGAAAGTGAGTATGCGATTGCATCGTGGGGCCCCTGTGAATATCTCCTCATCTGATTTAACAGGTCGACAAGATACCTCACGCATGTCAACCTCACAGGTACAAAACTATTCATTTCATGGGAAAAGAGATAAAGGGGTATAGTGTTGTTTGGCATTCATTTTCAATTTAGAAATGTTCTGGGCTCTGAATTGAAAGGCTTACCTTACAGTTGTTATGTTTTAAACATGTCGATCTCTTACTTAATCTGAATCAGCTGATAAAAAGCTATTTGTGAAGGCCTCTGTTCTTGAGGCTGTAATGTGAAGGAGAGGGACTAATAGCTGTGGAAATCTATAGCTAGGTACCTGGGTGCCACCTTTCCTTAATGCCTTTTTGGGCCTTTGTGTATTCACAGGGAACAGACTTTTAACAGCCATGGAAATTTCAGTGACTTTTGCTATACTCTGTGAATCGTCAACTGACATAAAGATCCATGTTTTTTCTTAACCACTGCAGGTCTCGGAAATCTTGTACAAATGAATGAATATTGGTCTTTGTTAAATTTGAGGAAGAATTAATAAGCATTCTTCTTTTAACGTTGATCAAATACAATTTGTCCAGTATTAGAGATGGACAACATCAGTGGTAGCCAGTCATTTAGCATTTTGTTTGGTAGTGCTTAGTGATAAATACTCCCTGACAAAACAACAGCATCAAACCCAGTAACCAACAGTTCTGAGATCTGGACATAATTTGTGGTTGTATTTCCAAATAAATGGCCACTGAATGGGAAATACCTACCAGCTTTTGTCTGGTATAATCATTATCTGTAATAACATCTATTGTATAAGGAGTTTTCCTGAAGAATACTAAAGATCTGAAAAATGGTGATTAATAAGAGATGGAAATAGAAAAGGATTTTCCATGCTTCCTTTGTATATTTTTGTAGTAGTTTGTTAGGTACCCTTCATGCGTCTCTGGTTTTTTTCTTAGCACTTTGAAGAATCCTATTTAATTTGAGAAGCAGAAATGCTTTTTAAATTATGTGTGGGCGTGTATTATTATTTGAAACACATAGCTAAATTAAGAGTAATAGTGAAATCTGAACATGTCTGCAGGAGTCAAGCACCTTGACTTTGGGACCATTAATCAGGACTTGCAATTTTTCCCATAAAGCATACATCATTTTTTGAAATGTATGTCAGATGTTCAAAGTACATCTGTATCAGGTTTCAACACATTGTGTAACTGGCTATAAATAAAATTTTCAATGTATAAAGGCCAGCATATTCTAGAAGAGAAATGCATTTAATTCTGCATTTAATGAAAGAATAATGTTAATATTATTTCCTGGTTTTTGTGTATTTCTAAACCAAAGACAAACACTTATCAAGCTATTGAATAATATTGGTTGTAATTTTTTTTGTTTCATTTCACTATGTGTAGTATGTAATCCCATCAGATTAGAAGTTCATATACAACATGGTACAAAACTGGATTTTGATTTGTAAATGGTTCAACAATGAAATATTGCTCTTGGAATCTTACATCCGGATTGAATTGTCTTTTTAAAAAGCTGGGAATTTAGAAACAATAAGTTTGAATTAGATGCTAATAGGAGAGCATATTATAAACATTTGGAAAGTTAGTCAGAAAGCAAGTGCCTTTCAGAGCCTTGATAAATTAGGCTGTAATTTTGTCAGCTGAAGAAGTCAGGTAGCAAAAGTTTCTACAGGTGAATCGGATAGTAATGTAGATGTTTTAACTATAAAAAATGATTTTAGCAACAGAGGTCAATAAAGAGGCTCAAAGGTTTTAATAGAAGTGGAAAACTCACCCAAATAAGTAATTATGGGTGAATATAAAAGTAGTCTATAAAAGCATAAGTGATTACACTTACAACTGCCACACCCTGGCTGCAAAAATTCAGAAGACCATTAGACACCAGCAAAGAATATTAGTTTGCTTTCTGCTCTTCAGTAATAATTTGTATTTTTCATTTTGGGTACAAGTCGCTCAACTGACGCTATTACTTGCAGTTAGAAAAGGAGGAGTTTATTAGGAATCCAGACACAATTGTATTTAGTAAACTTTCATAGCATTGCTCATTAACACCCAATTAATAAAACCCTGATTGTTGATAGCATGCTTTTATAGATGAAAGATATGTAATCTGAATTTATGCCAAAAGGATATTTGAAACAAGCAGTCTTTAAAGCAAAATTAAAAAGATCTCTGATCAGAGAATAACGTTTCAAGGAATATATAATTTAAAAGTTTTAGCTCCCACAGGAATATAGCTTTTATTACCTAATGCAAGCTTTTGCAATCAAGTACTTAAATAATATGACTACTTTCTGCAGGTCCAGAGTCTTTAACATATTAATAAAGAAATTATTTAGCGTTGTAATTATAACTACTTCTATATTATTTTTCTTGAAATCTTTATATTGGATCAGATGGCGGCCTGCTGAATACATTTCTGAAATACTTGTTTCTGAGCAATTATTTCAGAAAATACTTCATTACGCACTACTCAAAGTTGCAATAAATAAAATGGTGTTCTCTTTGGCTCTTTAATGCAAGGGCATTTCCTTACCTGCTGACAAATATATTTATCTCTAGGGCTTGAGTAAATATATCCTACGGGAGATTTGCTAATTTTGAAAAAAAATGAAACCTTGTGAGGTTTTGAGACTCTTTCTTTTATCCTTTCATCTGAAAAGCCAAGCTCCTGCAGACCTCGAAGGAAGAGGAAGAAAGTGCGCATTTTAACCTCTTAAGTTACCGGAAATAAAGCACTTTTGGACTCTTGAGGTGTAATTATTTGCTTTCCTTTACATCAAAATCACTGAAGTCCAGCGAGCTACATTATACAAAATATGTGTAACTGTTTCTTTGGTTTTGATATTGAATTTAGAAGGCATTAAATTTCAAGCCCATCTTGCCTTATCCCAGTATTTCATTCTCTTGGTATATGGTTGATGTTTGCCTTGCACACTTGGGAGGCATCAGTAGCCAGTTATTTTTAAATTATCATTTTATTAATGACTATAAACTGATATGGAACAGAAAAGCTGCCAATGACTGCATATCGTTAATGGTTTAAAGGAGCTGTGAATGATTAGGTACCGGTCACCAAAGATTTTGGAATTTAAATTTTATGCAGATAAAGGGATAATTTTCAGCCCAAATCCTTAGGTAGCAATAGTTGAGTTCCATAGAACAGTATTCTTCATATTCATATTCTTCATATAAACAAAGACTAAATTTTCCATCTACAGTTTTGTGCGTTATTTTTCTAATAAAAAAGACTGCCCCCTCTTCTATATCCTATATAATAATGCAACTAGCACACAATTCTGTTAACATAGACAACTTTTTAAAGTGGTTTCTTAATTCATTAAAAGGAAAATAATTAGTTTGAAGTAAATTTTATCGATGGGCATGATAATTTAAATCATTTTAAATTCCTTTAGGTTGTGAATAATATGGTGTCTTTTATTTTCATCCAATTGTAAGAGAGGGCCTTTTTTAGATCAGGAGTTTAACGTTTCTTAAGAGATCAAACCTTCTGTAACTCCATGGCTGTTCTTGCCTCTTCTTTTTTTACTGGTCCCAAAAAATTCCAAAATCCACATATTTCAGAAGTAAATTCTGATTCAATTATGCAGATCTGGGTCGCAAAAATCCAGATAACCACCCTATGGAAGCAGAAATATGCCACTATCTAATAATCTTCTGGATTTTTACAACCCAAATCCAATAACTCTACATGTGCTGAATCAGTTAGAGCCCTTGATTTGTGTTAGGCAACATTGATTTCTCTAAATGTCATACTCTAATGCAATTTGAATTCTCATTCTAATGTAATTGAAATTCCTTTCCGGGATGACTGTGAAAGGTCCAATAATCTTTTTTCCTAGTGAAAAGCAATTAGAATAGGTTTTACAATAAATAAATTGAAAAGTTTCTTTTTTAACATTCTTGCAAAATTAGAATTGCCATCTTAAGAAGGGACTAAGAGTCCTATGGTTACTTCCTAGGGGCTATGTGACATTGCTTAGAAGCCCCTTCTCCTTCCTGTTTCTTGTATACTAAGATGCAGAGAACAAAGAGAAAACAAGGAAGAAGCCTTGCAGACTAGATAGAGAGGTTTTCCCTTTCTAATGCTAAACTGGGATCTAGTACAATATGCACAAGCTTTCACATTAACCAACCCATATAGTCTTCCCTTCTGAATGGCTAGCACAGTGGTGGCGAACCTATGGCATGGGTGCCAGAGGCGGCACTCAGAGCCCTCTCTGTGGGCACGCATGCCATCGCCCCAGTCCTAGGGCTTCAGCTGGGTTTTATAAAACCTTTTCGCTTTAGGCCTCCGCCGCCATGTGCAAAAAAAAAAAAAAAGTTCAATCAATTTCAACTTCTCGCGGGAAAAAATAAGATCTTGCAAAGTTGGAATTGATTGATTGAACTTTTTAGTCCCACCCAGTCTGCTGTTACCACCGCAGCCACGCCCAGCCAATTGGCAACACCCAGCCAATGGGCCACACCCACCCAGCACTCGACGATGCATAAGTCGGTTTTGGGTTGCAGTTTGGGCACTCAGTCTCTAAAAGGTTCGCCATCACTGGGCTAGCAAGTATTTCCCTTAAGAATTAAGTAATTGCAGTTTCACATCTGATCCTTGCTAAGTATAATTTATTTCATACAAGCCATCTTTAAATTGTAGTTATGGTTTTTAAATATTGTTTTATAACTTTAAAATGTTATAAGATCTAGAGTAAAATGGTCTTCTATTTGGGCTTTCAGAATTAAAAGAAATATTTGCCTTATCTATAAGCAAGCTAACTAAGCTCTTGTAATTTGTTATTTGATCTTCCACATTCCTTGGCCCTGGTTTGCTATAGAGAAGCAAAAATTATTATCAGGGTTGACTCCTTCAAATAGGTGAGCTAGACTGTCAGGGTATCAAATTAAGTAGGGTTCCAAATTTTGAGGGGGGAAAATCCAATTTAAAAAATGGAAATCTTTTTGTGGGGTGAGATCACCAATTACATTGATCACCTAAGATACTAGATGGAGGCAGTATTCTAGGTTGCCACAAATGGTACTTG